TTATTGTCAAAATAAGAATTAAGATTAATTATGTCAACATGTCGGTCATATATGATTTATTGATTTGATAGGAGATTTTTTTTTATTTTAACCCAAGAATTATACAATATTTATTCAAATTCATTTCATATAAACAATTACAAAGAAATAAGCAAAACTTTTTATATCGATATATATATACTGCTTGTGTTATTAACGTTTAAATAATCTTAACAGTAGTAATATATGTCGATAAACTAAATATGAAAGAAAATATCCTACAAGTAAATAGTTTATTAAACTATATTTAATAACAGGAGATATGAACACATTAGTTTTTTGATTACCGGAAAATGATTTCATGTTCTAAAGAATTTTATTTGTCTGCAAATGTCAAACTGAGTTAATTTATACGTTATAAGAAATATTAAAAAGTTATAGTGTATCCATTGAATAATGTTTTATATTTCGTTAAATTAATTCTTCAAAGAGATTTGCTTTTATCTAGTTAATAAATAATATTTCAAAATGACTAAATTCATTGATTAAAAATAATATTTGTTACTTTGTTCTTGATATGTAAGTTCGAGTTTCTTTATATATTTTATAAAAACAAACAAAGTATTACAAAGACATATATATATATATATAAAGAATTAGAAATGTATCTGACATAATCTAATTTCTAATTTTTATTAAGTTCTTGATCGAGTTTTAAAATTTGTTTAAGTTTATTTGATTCAACAGCTGATACTAAACCATCAAAATCACAACAATATTGATCATTATTAAATATTTGTGGTAATATCATTTTTTGATTCAATGCTGCTAATGTACGTTGTAAAAATTCTTTTTCATTTGAATTTTTTGCATCACTTATATCAATATCAATATAATCAATTTTATTTGTATCAAGAATATGTCGTAATTTTCGTTGATTACCAATTATTAATTGATTACTTGTTATATTGGTCATGTAAACTTTTAAAGGCATCTTAGTATCTAAAAGAAGAAAAAAAAAAAAAGAAAGACATATCTATAACATAAAAGTTAACAGCTGTTTAATATTTTTACAAGGACATAAAATAACTGATATGCCCTATTCTTGATAATATATATTCATATATAAAGAGGACTGAGTAACTTTAATAGAGAAAAATATGTATGACAATGTATAAGATAGATTATTATTGATAAGAGATTTAGTTTGAGTTTGTGCTAAGGATAAGTAGTTACTATATCAAGAATCTTTGTTTTTTTTTCTTCTCCTCATGAAATCATGACAAAGAAAATTTTTGAGAATAAAAGAACAGGTAACAAATTTATTACGATGAGTATATTATATAATTAAATTTTTGTGATATAAAATGATAAATTTATGGTCTTGATGTTTCTCGTAACTGAAATTTAATGAAAGAGCAAGAACGCTTAGTTCTACTTATCTCTTACCTTTTCTGATAAGAACAAGTAATTTTCTTATAATAGTGCTTTTAGTTTTACATAAAAGAAACGAGAAATGGAAAAACTTAAGTGGTGTATTAAAATTTCTTAGATAGGAAAAGAAATTTCTTTCTTTCATTTCACCAAGACATTATTCATAGGTTGATTGAAAGAAACAAAAGAAAAGCCTTCTTTTTTTCTGATAGTAATTCATTTATAAAACATTAGACAATCATTTACAATCTAAGTTAATAAACAATTCGATATGAAATTTACTTCGAACGTTTATTTTTAACATCAATAGTAGATTGAATACCGCCACTAGTGTCACTGGTAAAGTACTAAAATAAACGAACATGATTGGATGCATTAAAAGAGCCGATCATATTCTATATACAATTATAGCGACACTCACCCCGATATGAGAAGAAAAAAAAAAAAGAGAACTAGTCTAAAACACTTTGTTTCTATTTTCTTTAGCTAATATCTTTATATATTTTTTTTTATCGTGGTTTAAATAATCTATTTAATTTTCATTTTTTGTATTAAAAAAAAAAAATAACACATGAATGAATCATGAACATACCACTCTCTCATACATGTTTATCATTGAGAATATATAATCAAAAAAAAAAAAAAAATTATTTTATGTTTTTTTTTAGAAGAACTGTGTGAGTTTTTTCTAGTCATGCGTTTCTATTGTCAATGCCTTAATGTAACTATTGATATATTAGAAATCGATGATAATCAAGAAACAAAGAAACGTATGTATTTCATTTGATGATATTGTATTTTTTGAAAATAAAAAAAAACAATTTCATTTTCTTAGATTTTTTTGCTACTGATTTAATACGATTTATTAATCTACCTCATGAATGGTTTCAATGTAATATGTCATCGGAATTAACGATAAATATTGCATGGCAAAGTTTATTTCAATCAATATCTGTACGTGATATGAAATTAAACCGGTGCTTAGTTTGTAATCAATATACACATGCAACAAATATTGATACAAATAAAATATTGATCAATAAAGATCTTCTTGTATGTATATTAAGAAAGAAATAATTCATATAATCATATGATGTTATTTTTTTCTGTTGTTGTTGTTTTTTTTAGAATGATAAAGCAGTTAAAAAAATTTATCTTGATCCAAATTATTCAACAATAACTAAAATTGTTTTACCAAATAGAATAAGTAGTTTACCAATAACAGGTTTTTTAGGTTTGCAAGGTAAGTTATTTTTTTTTCTTTCTTTTGGCCGTGTTTAAATTATAAAAGAAAAATAAATTAATTTAGATGATATTTTTCAACGTGAATGTGAATTAGTGCGACAACTTTATCGTCAATCAATTGATGATGCTGATCGAGAAACAGAAGAAAACATTCAGTATTGAAAAGAAAAAAAAAAAATAAATATTATTATACTTTTCTATAGACTGTATCAACATGAACAAGAACAAATTTTAGATACAAAAACAGAGGCAATCTATAAAGAACTTGATACATTTTTGAGGTAAATATTTTCTGTTTTCGGAAGATATTCAACTAACAAAGGTTAAAAATAGCTTATTTAGCAACCAAAAATGCTCCGTAGGCTATCGTTCTAATTTTCATTTTATTTGAAAGAGCATGCTAGGATATAGAACATGGCAAAAAGTACTCTTGTATACAACAGAAGCAAAGCTTCAGTCAAAAACCGGAACTCTGTTATGTACGGCATCTTAACATACTTTTTTGAAACAAAAAGAAAAAATATTGACTTCAATGAAATTCTAAGAGACGTGCAATCAACATGCCAGAAACAGAGAAAAAGCAAATTTCCTGTATTTTTTTCTTTGAAAATGGTGTATTTTATTTTTGAAAGTTCAGGAAGTAGATCATTCTATTGATCAATTGACAAAACTTTTGAACTCAATGAAATTTTCTAATCAAAATTGAATAGTCACTCTGAAGATATGCGAAATTTTCTTTGTCTATTGTATCTTACTCAGTAACTACTGCGCCCAATGTACTTGTCAAGGTGATGGGAATTTTGTCAATATGACTTTTGATAACACACAGCCTGGAACTCGCTCCTGTAAGAGTAAATTAAACCTGGATGAAAATTTTTTATCACCTACATTAGTGAGTATCTATAACCTATGATATATACATTTTCTAACGACATTATCTTCAACTCTCACATGTATTCTATTTTAATATTGTTTCGTGACAGCTGGCGAAAGTCCTATTGGCGCAATGCCGGAACTCCATTTCTCACATAATTAGAGCCTATCAGATCTAAAATTATTAGGTGCCGATCCGATGAACTTTACCTGTCGACTATATTAGAAGAGTAGACTGTATTATAGATCTAATTGTCTTAGAATTTCTTTTGTTTCAATTTAACACTTGCTGAGTTTTTATAAGAAATTTTCATTAAAGTTTGAACTGGTTGTTTTAATAATGTAATGTGTTGTTGAAATGTTAATAAACCGATAGAAACGTTACAAAGATGTTTTTTGTCATGTCAAAATTATAATTCGTAAGGTCCTTGGAGACTAGATAGATTTCAATAAGATAATAGTTTTTATTATATAGAGAAAAGTCAGGATATTATTTTTAATTGAAAAAATAAATATTTAATAAATTTTGTTAGTTTCATGCGAACAATACCTCGACATGTTGTATCAAGTAATAAAACATCTCCAATATTACAATCATCAAATTCTTATATTAATGAAAATAGGTTAATAGTTTGTTTATTTGTTTTTTAATATGAGCAAATTAAAATTATCTATTTATTTTTTTCTTTTAACAGTATGGAATCAGGTTTTGGTTCGGATATATTTGATGCTAATGGACCAGATTTAAGTCGACAATCATCAGCAATCGAACGAGTAATAATGATTTTGTTATTAATTAATTCTTTTTTTTTTTTTTTTTAGACATTTTCTGAACGTACTAGTAATTTAGATGATGAAACAATTGATGATCCTATGTTTGATAATATAGGCATATTTAATTAATAATATTTTGTTTTTAATATCTATTTGTTTTTTTTTCTTATCTAGATTGGTTTTCTGGTAAAGAAAGTTTATCGAATTTTTCTACATCATTACCAAAAGATATTGCATTTCATCCTTATACAATTCCCCAACAAGTAAATTTATTTTTATTTTAATTGTTTTAATGAAGAAAAAAAAAAAATCATTTTAATTTAAGAAAAATGATGATGATAGTAATGATCTTGAACGTATTGGTAAATCATTTCGTGAATTAAGTCAGTCATTAATGTGTACAGATGGTACAGAAGTTTTTGGTGATTTACCTTCACCAAGACTTAATGCTCGACAAACGTGAATAAATATTTTGTTTTTATTCACATATATATATTTCTTATTCATAATAATCAATTGCTAATGTTCACGTCTTTGTTTTTTTTTTCCGCTTTTAATACATATATATATAGTGAGCATTATTTTTGGTTGCTGCTTTTTTGAATGACTTTTTCTATTTGTCTTCCTATTATTCTTCGTAGATAGATCAGAACGAAAAAAAGAAACAAATTTTAAAGATTATATTTCCTCTTTGATAGATTGTATGTATTCTAGTGGCTTTTCATTAGTATATTGAAAGTATTCTTATTTCATAGCTTAATGTATTCATATATATATATATATGTGCTTGATTTCTTTTTTTTAAACTTTTGTTGTTATAAACATGTTAAAAAAAATATATATATAGATGCAATATGGTCGATTTTAGGATTGAAGAAAATAATGTATCGTATTGATCTTATCTATATAAGCAAATGTAATGTAAACACATATGTTTTTTTTCAGCAGTTCTTATAAAAAATAGATTAGTTCATAATAGCTTTTATTGTTGTTGTTGTTTTTTTTATATTGATATTTCTATGTATGAAAATGAATGAGAACAGAGATAATTATATTTGTTTTGTGTTTAAAATAATAAAAATAAAATTTGGAATGATTTTTGTCAATGTGAATGAATTTATATTCTTATTTTTAATTTTTCGAAAGCAAAAATTCTTTTCATTAAAAGATCAATATCAAAATCGATGTACTTTAAGTGCAATTGATAATAAAAATACATTAGTTTTTTACGCATGACTAGCAATACATTTATAAAAATGAATTATATTTTTAGACATGCACATTAGTTAAATATATGTAGGACATTTATTATTCATTCCTCTCACATGCAAATTAATCAGAGTGTATGATTGTATTCTTATGCTAATGATGATTGTATATTTATTTTGACGTTAATAAAAATATTAATTCAAATTATTTGTTATCTGTAATACTTTATTGTTTGTTTTTTTATTAAAATTATTATTGTTTAGAATTGTGCAAAATTTAAAAGAAGTTCTGAAATAATTTTAAAATTCATTTATTTTTTTTTTGTATTCAATAAAAGGAAGCTTTTTGCAATTTTGTTAGATTAATGTATGCACTTACTATTAAATAACTGCAAAGCATCAGGATGATAGTTGTAACTCTAAATGAGAAACTGTGAAAAAATACTATCATTTACTATTTTTATCAATATTCTAATTACTTTAACTGATAAAATGTGAGAAAAATTTTGAGACAAGTATTGATTTCAATATCTCGTCATAAAATATATGCCAAAACAAAAAATGTTTCCTTCGAGAATATGTTTTCGTTGCTATACGTGCCAATCAAAGAATTATAAAATTTAGCAATAGACAAAAAAAAAATGACTAAAAATTAAGGTAATTTAGATAATATAATTTTTCAAAATGATGAAAATTTTAAATAAAGAATACATGCAACTTTGAATTTCACAAACATATTTTTATGTGTATTTTCGAATTTTGATTTGAAACTTTGCACATATAGAGAACTCAAACTAGATTAACTGATATGAAAAAATGAAGAAGTTGTGAAGTGAACCTCTTCTAGATATGGAACTTTTAAAAACATCCAATGCTCGGCTTAGGTTTGCTTTTGACTGGAATCGTTTTCGGCTAGAATATATCATGTGTAGAATATCTCCACCAAATCTCTAAGACACTCACAAAATATAGTCAATTCATTGGTTAAAAGTATTCTTTATGTGAGTAAAGTTTTTAAAATGAAGATGTGAGTTAAGATGTTGGAATGATTTTACATTGTAGAATCCATTTAGGACTAGATCGTAAAAAAAAACCCGATGTTTGAATTTTCTTTTGTTTGTCTTGTAAAAAATAAGTCTGCTGATGCTATCTATGATTTTTGTACTATTCGTCAAGCTTTATTAGATAGGGTATATGCAATTAATAAGTGTTTCTTGAGTTGTATGAGTAATTATGACAGCATGCGAAGCTTCGAGTTTGGTTTCGAGAGTTTTTAAACATTGTTGAATTATTTTAATGGATCTGTAGATCTTCGAATTTTGAATTATTTATTTGACTATGCGTAGATCTACTACAGTCAAGTCTGAAATTCTCTCTTTTATCTTGCTTATACTTTCTTTAATGAATTAACTGAAAATGATCGCAATCAAAGCCAAACAGAACTTGGACGTTCGCGTTCGGTGCACATCTACTTTAAACAAAATATTTTCATTTATGTTCGTAGTTAAGACAGCAGACCTCATAATAGTGAAGTTTGACTCTGGAAAAGACTTATCATCAATAAATATTGTAGTAATGTACTCAGCCGCTTTACTAAAAGGGTATAGCTTTTTACAGTATTGGTAATATAAGAAGATGGCCTACTTATGTCAAACTGTCACTCAATCTTTACTGATACTATCATTATGATGTAGTAGTGCTCAGAATGTCATACCAGACAATTAGACTCGAGTTTGCACAACAAAAAATGTTCGATTTTAGCTGACGATTACTATTAATTTTCGTCATTATTCAAACTAAATGATATCTATCAATGTAGAATATATGATAACCTAAACAAAAGGAAATTTCGAATTAGTAAATTCCATCGTTTTATGTTCGAAAAGTCTTCTGCTCAACTTTCGCCAAGCACGATTATTTTTAGCTGTAGCATACTTGAAGCCGGTCAGATTTTTTTCGACTGGATCGGCTTGATTGGTTGAAATTCGTCACTCAATTGGCACAAAGAACCCGACGAGAATCCGATACATTTAACATATCATTTAACCAATCTCTTTTTTTCGAGAAAAAGTTTATTACTTCAGTTCCACGAAGACATAATGTAAAATATTTCAAACTTGTGAGTTTGACACTAGTGTGAATCCCAATGTTATTCTCTTTTAGTTGAATAAAGAAAAACGACTTATATATTCTGATTTACTGCCAAGCAAATTTGATTTAATAAATGATTCCATATAATAACTAATAAGAAAAAAAAATTTCAAACTAAAACAAAAATTGTTTTTTTTAATTTCCTAAATCTTCTATTGGTAGATGTGGATGTGAGTATTGATGTTAGTCTTCTCTTCATTCTCGTCTATAATCAAAGCTACGTACNCTTTATTAGCTTTGTCTGTCTTAGTATTTTTCAGAATAGAACTGTTTAATATATCTTACTATTAATATTTTTGTTCGCTTCAAGACAATAGTCTTATATCACAAGGAATCTAGGTAAGAACTATAGCGAAAACTCAATTTAACATGTATAATACCGACGAAACTCTTGACATTAATCTTTTACAGGTAAACTGCTTACATTATTACAGTTCAATGGATATGGAAAGTATGGAGAATATTGAGTATTGTCTTGGTTCATTTATTGACAATTTTGATAACACACGTGATCAGAGCTTCACATTTGATGAATTACGTCAGTTAAATGTCACTAGTAAGCAACTTCTTTCATGATCTGCTATGATTGATCTTGCAGAACGATATCAATATTATATTGAACACCTGGGCAATTTATCTGGGTTGAAAGAAATTTTCTTCAACTGTACAAAACCATGGTTCAGATCTCGACGTGAATACTCGTTTGGTTTAAGTGAATTGTATTAATTTCAGCGTATCATTTAGAGAATATGGTCAAAAAAATTTCGATACCAAGCTCCCTATAATACCACTAATCTGACCTGTTACATTCATTTGCAATGTGATTGTGGCAGATCAAGCATGTGTCTTGATTGGCGGAAAGTGTGTGATGGAAGAATAGATTGTATCGATGGAGGTGCAGATGAAGCACACTGCTTCGCCTTGGAAGTAAACGGATGTGATGCGAATGAATACCATTATCATAATGAGTTATGCATACCAAAGGAATTTTTGGGCAATATGATTCCGAAATGTCTTCATAGATTGGACGGGCAGGGCGCAATTTCAATCTTAGATTTGCACATGAACTCGATCGAGTTTAGTTTTGAAAAGTGTTCCTGTCTACAAGGTCAAGAACAATTCTCATGTGGAAACGGAAAATGTGTGGCAGATTTCGATACATGTCAAAATAAGCGACATATCTTGCTCAGTGAATAATCAATCAGTGCTCAAGAGAATTTACCACATGATTGCTAGATTGTCATGGTCTGTCTAGCAAAAATTCTCAATGAAGTTAATGGAATATCCTGTGATGAGAACTGGTGACGTTCTCACTCACTTTTCAATAGTTCCTATACTTTTTGGTCATATGCGCTTTTTATATCGTGTAAAGGATGCTCATGATTTGGATATCAAATTATCTCTCATACCCGATTATATATGTTATTATGAACAGCTGTGTAATTTTCTCACGCCAACGTTCTTCTATGGAAATTATTCTTGCCAACATAGTCATGAAATCGATTTTAATCGAAGCTTAAAGTCTAAAAATTGAGCTTCTCTCGTTCGCTCAGTTGAATCATATTTTTGGAAGTGTTGGGTTAGACGTAACAATAAAAATGGTTCTCACGATCCATGATTATACAGTTGCAAAAGCTTAACTAAATGCATTGTCAAAACATCGAATTCTGGATGGTATTTCGGATTATTATCTAAACGATAATGAAGAACAGTTCACACTTAACTGTTCAATTAATGATATGCTACGTTTCAATTGTAGCAATGAAAATAATTGCTACTCGCCATTGTTTTAGCGAGAAATATGTCCTCCATGGCGTTTGCGTACCTTAGATGAGATATTATTTCAACAAAAATATGATCGTACCGTTCGCGTTATACCCGTCCTAAGTGATGATCAAAACCATACAGATGAAACTGAATGTGAACATTGGCTGTGTAACAATTACTACATATGATGTGATGGTTTTTGGAATTGTTCTCATGGAGAAGATGAAGAAAATTGTACAAAACAAATATGCCCTTCACGCTTTCTACCATGTGTGTCTTCATACAATTACACTTTAACATATTTTCCATCAGAGCACGGCTGCAGGGATATATCAGAATATCTATATCATTATGGATTTCATTCTTGGAGGCAACAATTTTAGCTTTAGATACTTTTGGCCAGCGAATTACTATGGTGACAAATGTCAATACCAAAATCAACGAGTCAGTCTCGCTATCGAAGCAACACTAGTGAATTCGCAAAGTATTTTACCCATGATTGTCAGTTTGAAAGATGATGACAATAACTGCCAAGAGATAAAGTCGCATGATCAGTTTAGTACATGGAATTTTTGAAACGCGCAAAAAATGATTATCTATATCTCACATGTTCGACACAGTCGAAGAACATTTCCAAGAACTACAGTGTTCGTATCGATGTATTTGATAAGAATTCTTCAGAATATATTAGTAGTTGACATTTCAGAATTCCTTTTTTTTCCCCTACCTGTCAATCGGAAGGCCATCGTATTGACTATATCAACTAATCAAGTGTTCAGCTCTGGTCATTGTTCTCCCCAATGTCACAATGGTAAATGCACGAAATATATTAATGAAGAAAAGTTCTTGTGTCAATGTGATACTGATTGTTCGGTGCTCTATGTGACATTTCTGTTCGTTGTAGTAATGGTTCATCTGATTTAATTTGTATTGGAATGATTGGTAATCGATCTATATAATATGTGTCCTGCAAATAAAGGTAGTTCACGTTGCTTCCTCAAACTTTCATGTCCATCAGACTTCTGCTCAAACAATTTAAAAAACTGAAGTGGAGTGTGGTTCTGCAAAAAATATCTATGTTTCAGTGCACCGTATCACTATACTTTGATGTACTACTCGAAATTATTTTCGTCAAAATTGATAACAATTACTATTTGACTTTTCTTCAACCATTCAGTAAGTTAAATGTCTCCACTTCCATTGGTTCCAAACAACGATGTTTATCAGTCAATGAACTCTTGAACTCTGAACAGATAGATTTATCAGAAATTCGACAATTGAAATATTTTCATGGACTATGCCAAACTCATATTCATCTGATGTGTTTCTTCGATGAATTTTATATATGTTTGTGTACTCTCGACCGTCGTGCCTATTGTTTCAAGTTAGAACATACTCCTTCAAAATGTCGACACAACACTTACTGTCAGAATAGAGCTGAATGTTGGCAAAATCATATTAAATGCTCAACAGTTACAGTATGTATTTGTACTAAATATTTCTTTGGCAATCAATGTCAATTTTATGCAAAAGACATTGCATTAACACTTGATGACATATTTCGTTATGAAATACGACTAAATACAATGATGAATGATCAAATAAATTTCAGCTTTTACGATGATTATATTTGTTGCTGGTTTGATCAATAGTGATCTCTCCATTCTGATATTTAGTATCAAAAGTTCAAGAGAAGTTGGTTGTGTGAAATTTATTTTCTTGCATCATCAATTACTTCTTTCTTACAGTGAGCCTTTTCACATTTAAATTCTCGTTTCTTATTTTGACTCAAATCAATCTATCAATTAGTTGCTCGGTCTTTCCGGAAGCTTGTATATTATTCGAATTGTTTCTTAAGCTTTGTTTATATACAGACAACTGATTCAATGCTTGTGTGGCTCTCGAACGATCGATAACGGTGCACAAAGGAATCAATTTTAATAAAATGCTCAGCAAACAGATGGCACGATGGATGATTTTCATCGTACCGTTATTAATAACAGCCTCTATCATTCACGAGCCTCTACATCGCGACGTATTTGATGGCAAAGAAAAATAACGTCTATTGTGTGTGTTTCATTATTCTCGCTCGATTCATATATATAATACAATGGTCTTATTACGTTATTTTGCTGATCCTTTCTGTGTTAATCTCTTTTCTGCTTTATTCATCATTTTTAGTGGTGTTCACCGACGAACAAAGACTCAAAAACGATTAACTGATAATCAACATCTGCATTAACAGTTGAAAAAACATCAAAATCTTATTATAAATCCTATAATTCTGTCAGTACCTCATCTGATTATTTCGATATTGTCAGGATGTGTGAAAGTCTCACATAATTCATGGTTATATTTTGCCGGATATATCATTTCATCCATTCCATCCGTGAGCGTTTTCACTATATTTGTTTTACCATCGGAATTTTACATCATACAATTCAAAGAATCAGTCAAGTTTTGACGACAACGAATCTTCTTATTATGTCAATTTTTGTTTCAAAAACCAGTAAACATTCATAAGCAATACTAATATCTGAAGATTGCTTTGTGGTTTTTTTCAGGAGAAAAGCATCGGTCGTTTCTAGTACCTAAATGTCTGCTTTCACACATGTTGAACTTCATTCTATTATCTCACTTTCTCAATAAATTCAAATGAAAGAATGCTCAAAGAAAAACTAATAATATGAAAAACGAATCCAATTTTAGGATTGTCAACCTTTAAAAAACTTCACAAGTTATTTGGAACTTCTATGATGTCGTAAGATGAACTTACTCTCAATAATGGACTAGAAAAATTACGACTTACATATCATAATAGTATACGGGTGTTTTAGCATAAATGGTTTTTCTTTTCTGGTCTCATAAAATATATTTTTATTAATTCACTGCATACCTATTCATAAGGTTCACTTCAAGAAACTTGTTGTGACATGATTCAAGATTTATAAACATCGTCAAGCACTGAAAACATCTTTCGCATATAGTACAATCTCTCATCTAAAGAAAAAGCAAACTCAATAAACAATTTTCTATCTTTAGCTATGATAGACTTAGTAGTCCGATATCTTCGGTACAACTCTGATTTGCTGTAACTAAAAACAGAAAGCTAACCTGACACGAAGATTTTACACTCAATTGCTTGAGCTTCCCATATAAACAAACTAACTATATACTAACCATAAGAGCAGGCGTATGTTACAACATAGTTAACATTCTTTCGAATGGTTGACCTGAGACACACAGCCGTTAGTGACTTGTCTAGAGCTATTTTAGGTCTGATGATAACAAGATTTGAGCGCAATACATTTTGAATAACCTACTGACTAGCATAACTACTCAACTAGAACCTGTCCAATCCGAAAATTTTCGGACTCGGATACTGCGAGCTCTACACACAACTATGACAGCATCGCAAAATGCGGGTAAATATGATGCCCATTAAAAGATCAATGAATGCACATAGGTGTGGCCTTGGTCTTTACTATCACGTTTATTTGCCTCATGAACATGTCTTTTGTTTACTATTGCCATCCTTAAGTATCCATTGTTCATCATTTACCAATTCACATATCAAAACAATAATCAGAACATTAGTTATTTACCTATATCCTACTATGACATTTTCGCTATTTTTATTGAAACCATTACGAAATGTTTAAGTTTCGTCATTGTCAATAAATGATTGTTATCACGATAAATAATTTCAAATACATTAACCAAACTCTTATTTTCTTATTTAAATACAAAACAACAACATCAACCAAAAAACAAAAAAAAAAAAAAGACATAACTATATTTCAAAACACAAATATCATAAAGAGAAAATAATAAATCTGACCAAAATTGTTCAATAGATTCGATCTAATTGTACAAAAATTTTTCCATCATAAAATGGTACTAATTCATCATCCATTGTTAATTCTCGAAATACATACTGCTCTTTATTAATATCAGGTGTACATATTGTTTTAAAGAAATATCTAAATAAGAAATAAAATAATTTTACATCAAGAAATATTTTTAATTTATACCTATATGTTGTTTGTTTTTTAAATAATTGTCGAAATTCTTTAAATGTTAATTCATTATGAATATGAGGAATTGTTGATAAAAGAGCATTGTTACTATCGAGTGATGGATACCATATAACATCAATTAATGGATATCGTTTTTTTGTATAAATTGTTTCATAATTTCTATAAGAAAAATTAAATTTTGTTTTTTATTATTGTTTATAATTTTTATTCAACTAACTTTTCTGATGAATCTGTTCCAACACCTGAATCATATCTTGTAAAATTAGTTATTGAGCCTTCATATAAACAATTATCAGCATCATCAATTGTTTTTGCTATTTGTAAATCAAGAACAGCTAATGAATCATCGTCGTTCATTCGATATTTTATTTGATTATGAACTTCGGTTTGATATGCTAATAAACGAGTTTTAATTTCTTCAAAAAATGCAGCTGGATTTTGTTGAGCAAGATTACATTGAGTATTTTCGGGTTTTATTAATTTTTTAGTACGCTGAAAAATAGCATGCATGATAACTGACTATAGTCTCTCTCTATATATATAAACTTACCGATTGTTTTGAACTATTCAATCCAATATCATTGTTAGCAATCAATGTTGAACCTTCTAATGAACTAAAAAATTACGAAAACTTTTTCAGATTAACAAGAATTAATTTAAAACTGTATTGGAACTACAGACACATAGATTACAAACACCGAAAGGGTCAACTCTGTTTCCGGAGAACCCTTAGCTCTCACGCTAGACAAAACACAATACGATGCGGACTTTCGAATGGTATCATAATATTCAAGTTACAAAGTCACAGATTTTTATAAGAAATAGTTTTAATAAAATCTTTATATTTTTTTTATTTCTGTACCATGGAAAATCAAATTTTTCTGTTTTATATAGAAGACGTACTAAACTTGGCATTTCATCAATTTCGATTACTTGAAAAAATCTTATTTTTTGAAATCATTTATTACTTCTGAACACTTTTCCTGACTGAGACCGTTAAAAAAATGTTGACTCTTCGAACTCAATCGATAATATGAAAATTTTATTTTTAACCGCTTACAAGTTCTTATTGCAGCAAAAGTCTAATGAAACCGAGTTTTACTGGTTCAAGTTTTGTTTGTAATACTGTAAAAATATCACGTTAATTATGTATAGAAAACATCAATCTTATTTCTGTTGATCAAAATTCATTCTAGAAGTTGAGGAAAAATCTATCGAAGACTTTTGTCTACAGAAAACATAATTATTCTATCACTTAATTCACCGATAGTTGTACATAAAAAATACGTTCTTTATTGTGTTAATGACATCTAACTATATTCTCACAACGTCAATAGGTTTATTTCTACTGTTTATAAATATTAATTTGAAGTTTTGTTGTATAATACTTACAAATAATATGCATTTGGCATGAGTAGTAATGTCATTCTTCAAATAAATATACACGTACTCACAAATAAGAGATATGTATATGTCTCTGTTTCTCTTTTTCTATGTCGGTAGTGGCAGCGGCGGCGGCGGCATCATAGTGTAATCTAATTGAATCTGATTCATGTTGACAAGATGAAAGGAAGCGACAATGTTAGAAGTTATAACGATCAAAAGAAAAGCGCATACTTTGATACAAAACGGCCGACGCTTAATCATCTATCAGGGGTAATCTACAGATTGTTCTTTTCTTTTTCTACAATCAAATATTCAAGCGAAAGTGTGACGAAATACACAGACACACTTATTTGATGATCATGATGATGAACGTAGCCTGCAGACGAATTCTTCGTTTTCTTTCTTTCTTTCTTTAAACATATGTGACACATGAACATATGGTTTAATGATGACACCTTTTCTTTTTCTTCTTCTTTTAGTTGTCAGAATTAAATTAGCACAACTCACCTAAGGTTGATTGGCTGTTGACTTGTCGTTTTAATAGGTGTAAAAGAACTAGAAAAAGAAATAAGATCATTAATTAATATTCATATTGTTTCTTGTCACATCTAGTATAGTTCTCATTTAATTAGGAATCTCTTACGTGAAATTTCACACTGAATTTTTTTAATATGAATTAAGCTTTTATTGATCGATTATATGTCTGAGGTAGACGTGATTCACATATTGAATTTAATTGTCGAGAATTTCTAATTAGTCGATCATCGTGATTTGATAGCTGTTCAAATTTAAATCATTGAAAAGAAAATGTTTTTGAGCAGTTATTGTATTGAAAATTCTTTCTTTTTTCCAAATTTCTCGGAATAATTTTACTAGCAGGAAATTCAAAGATATGCTTNTGAAAAATTTTAGGGATTAAAATCGATTAAAATTCAAAAATCCTATGGGCGTAATCGAAATTGATAATCGGATTTTTCTGCAACAAAATCAAAATTTTAATCCATTTAAATCAATGTTACCAATCCACCTCAATCGATTAAAAATAAAATTTAATCGATTGAGGTGGATTGGTAACATTGATTTCAATCGATTAAAATTTTGATTTTGTTGCAGAAAAATCCGATTATCAATTTCGATTACGCCCATAGGATTTTTGAATTTTAATCGATTTTAATCCCTAAAATTTTTCACTGGGTATGGAAAGAAGCTCATTAGATGATTTTTTTTTCAATAGCTTCTCTTTTTTTATGCTAGTAATCTAGATTAGTCAATTTAATCTTCAATAAGGTAGGTATTGTACATCAAAAGATCTTTTTTTTATTTTTTATTTTTTGATTGAAATATTTCAATAAATAAATTTATTGCAATCACTAAATTGTTCATTATGCATGAATCGAGGGTGTGGGTATGGATGTGAGTGTGGGCCTTCTTTGCGTCATCACCCTCACCCTCATAATTTCATTGATTATTCTGTTTATTTTCAGGTATAATCAATTAAAAATTGTATAAAAAGCATCGGTTTTGATCGTTATTTCGTTGTAATTAATAAAAAAAATCGTTGACTTATTTTTTTCAATCTGTATCACCTATATTAAATTATTTTCATTAAGTATTAATCAATTCTAATCGATAATAATCAATATACTTAATCGAATGTTGGTTGTAATCAATTAAATACGTATGATCTAAATCAATTGTCAATCATTTTTTAATCAATATTAATTTGACTTTCACCTTGATTCTTTTAAATGGATAGTTGTGCATAGCAAAAAAAAATGTTTATCAGCATAGCTGTATTGTATCTGATTTTTCTTAGATTTGGATTCAAAAGGCAGCGAACAATATTTTTATTCTTCAACTGACATCGATCCAAACGGTAAATTCCTATCAATTAGTGGCTATCCCAGAGAAGCAAAAAAAATAACGTAGCACGCCCAACATGTCTAGTCTCAAATGACTTGCAACGCATCAGGACTGGTTGACTTGACGAGGAACACGATATAACAAAACACTGACTAGCTCATTTTGTCTATTCATACTGTTCAAACTTGTCAGTAAAACAAAACGGTCAAAAATATACATGACGCTAAATGGATTCTCGAACGTTCAGTTCCACAATATTGTATATCTGACTAGTCTGCACTGTTTTCAATTGTGATACGGACTAGTGTGAGCGTCATTTGTATTGCTTATGACTAGTTCAGATAAATCGAAACACTTAAAGCAATCCCTTTTGCTTCGGTCTTATGTTCTAGACAATTTGTTTACACTTGTTCGTATTGAAATGAGAAAGATGTGTAATGTAATACGGGATACCTTTTTAGCAATTACATTATTTCTTGCAGTATAAGATTGAGAATTAGATACCTTTAGAATATATATCAGATAGTAAAATATTAATCATTTTGTTATTATTTTCAATAAGAAGAGTCTCTCAAAACTAATAGTGACGCCAAGAATTGATTAGATATTTAACCATATGCAGTCAAGCAATTTTGACTGGTCTAAAGCAAAAACTAGACCTCGAATCCCTTTATAGGAACAAAGTTTTGCACTTTTTTCCCTAAAACTACCAAACATATGTTGAAGCACAAAGAATTAGATAGAATTGAAAAACAGCTGTTTTTGTCTTAACAAGGTGTGGATGTGCCATTGTCACTTGTCTTCTCTTAACCTACACACACACACATCCTCCATGCTACGCATTTCTCAGACCAGTGGTATGAGAAATGTATAGGATGCACTAATCACCGAAAACGAAAAGTTCGAAAAAAACCTATCTCATGTGTACGAGATACCTATCCTATTGCGGTTAGAAAATTTCATTGAAAATATTTAATGATGATTCAACTGGGCTGCAAAACACTACGTTGGATACCAGACAGGGCGATCTATGAGTTTTATGACTTTACAGGTTATAGCAGTTTCATATAAAATAAATATTTTGCTCTCCTTTGAAAAGTACTTTGTACAATGTATGTGTATCATCAATTTCAAACGATGAATTGAGTATACATTTTTATTAAAAATTATGCATGTTTAATGTCGTTTTAGATCAAAAATAATTTGTAAATATTTTACGTGTCATAGTTTATTAGTAAGTAACATCAGAAACAATCTTGTTTTGCTCGTTGTTTTAATCTTTTGATATTATCTTAAATGAAATTTAGACGTTTTCGATACCATATACGTTCTTCTTCAAGTCCGTATATTTCACATAGATAAACAAAGTTTTCATACATATGTCGAACATCAAATTGAAGAGTTGAATAAAGTTTACGTAAACAAACAGGACATAAATATAAAGTCTGTCGATCCATTTCAATTTGATTATTAGCACCATTCATCAAACAAATGAAGTAGATACAATGATTTAAACCGAATAAATGACCTAATTCATGTAGAAGAATTTTTATACAACGTCGAAGCATTACTACACGCTCTTGTTTAGTTAATGGAACAGAGAGTAAACTTTGTGATGATGCAGGAAATAATGGATCAAGACGTGCAAATGAGTAAACACCAAGACGATCTTTTGCTCGTGCTTCTCCATAAACAAAATTCCAAGTTTCATCAGGATATATATCAGCCATAGTTACGGCAACACATAAAAGTTCTCGCCTGGTATCACGTAGATAACGGGTTTGAATTAGATAATTATAAAAGCCATCTGTTCGATATTGTCTTATTCCATGTTTTTCTCTATATTTCATATCTTTCGAAAAATCAATCGTTGGCAATAATTCAACTTCACATCCTGCAAAAAATACACGTGCAAATTGAATAATAACATTAAGTGGTGCAGCTCTAAAGTGTCATATTAATAAACTCAATGGAAAAAAAACCAACGAACTTTCTTTCTACCTTGGATGATTAAAACTACCAACTGGCTGAATATAGATTGTATTAAAACTATTATGTAAAAAAGAAAGAAACTTGCTCAGTTAAAGAAAGAAATAATAAGTTATTATTTACGTTGAATGTGGAACAGCTTTTGACGTAGTTCGTTCAAATGCTTTCATAGTTTGTCCTTTTTCTTCATGATATATCAACCAATCATCATGATTAGGAATCGGTACTGGTTGAAAACTTTCATGAAGTTTATTCGTCACAGCCATTTGCATATCTCTTGGTAACTATAATAAGAATCAATAACTTTACAATAAGAGATAAGAGCAAATTACGTATAGAATAAACCTGTATAATATCACCAAGAGCTTCAGCAATAAGTTTTGCATTGGGAGGTATAAAATTCATATTTATTGTAATATATAAAATTGATTAAAAATTTAAATAATATAATTAAAAAACAAGCAACAAGAATTAAATCAAATTTTTGTACTTAAATAGAGCTTCATAAGTCAATACATCATTTGTGACTAATTTCATATAATTCTACCAATCCAATCAGTTTTTCTTTGAGTCAACCGTAAACATTATGTATATGAAATATGACAGGATAAGAGCGGTCTCTAGCGAAAAACTTAGTCTTCCGAAACGTCTTACGACTAATCATGTATAACATATGTGTTTATCGAAAGTATACGAATATGCATTAGGCTTGAAAGTTTGTTTCAGTTATTCGCAGTACATAAGTAAAGTTTAAAAAAAACACCAAATAATTTACAATTCAGTCTTTGCTGCGGTCAACCTATCGCTTTTCACTCGCTTAATGGCATGACAAATTCTCCTTCTTTTTTTTGATGCATTAGTCATGATTCAAGTCATCCATTCCATCTTCACATCTAACCATCATTTTGAAATGAGACCATAATTGTCGAGATCGTCAAAATGTGACGAGTGTATATCTGCAATAGGCTTCTCTAAAAGCTCGATGTCATGCGTGGAACTGTAAAAATGTGGGCAAGGATAATTAACAGCTGAGAGTTTCATGTTATTATCATACATGACTCAATCTTAACAAAGACCATTGATATTTTACATGTGTAACATGACAATAGTTGACTCATATTCATTATTTCTTAACTTACCACCTGAACCAAAATAATTGAACACGACTGAAATTCATTATAATTTTCTTTGAGGAAGTCTAAGATTTAGAAATAGCAAATATTGTATAGGATTCCATTCTGACATTAAGAAAAAAAGCATTAGTTTTTTTGTGAAAATTAAAAAGAATTGAACAATAAATCATAGGTAGTCTGAAACTAGGACTCTTCTGTCCTTTGGATTTATCAGACACATGTTCATTCGAAATAAATAATTATTATTCTTTATGCCTATGAGGGAATCACCTAAGGTAATACCTCACGTTTGAGATTAGGTATCAGTCACTAAGTAGAGTCAGTTGAGACTAGAAAAATTCTTCTGCATAGACTGCCATTTAGGAGTTATAATCGTTGTACTGAACTTTTGACTTTGACACAATACGTAAGTAATAGTGTAAAAATGAATTTTGGCCTAAAACTTTGCCCATAGACGGCTCTTGAAGTCATTAGAATCTTCTCAAAATTTCAGTCAAAAAGAGTCGTCTTTTTGCGAGATATAAAACTCACATAAAACTAGATTTTCCATTCTTTTGATGGGATATCATGGGGTTTTTGTCGATTTGATATCTAAAAAAGAGACGACTAATTTTGGCTGAAATGTTCAGAAGATTCTAATAACTTGAAGAGCTGTTTGTAAGCAAAGTTGTAGACCAAATTTAGTTTGTTCATTTGTTTTTTCAAATACTGTAGCAAAGATAAAAGTTCAGTGGAGCGACCATAACTCGAAAAAAAATAGTGTACGAAGAAGAATCTTTTTACGTTTCTTCTAGTATCAACAGGCATTGCATCGTGATTTAGAGTCTCATCTCAAACACGAATTATCACCTCCGATTCTTTCCTCGCATTTTTTACACTTAACTTGGTTGCTACGTTTCTCCACTAATCTAGTATCAATGAAAGTTTCAAAGAATGTTCTTCTCTATCTAGTACATACATATAGTCATTAAGTGTAAATTCTTCTGGATTGAGATACAGATTTTCTAATATTCCTAGTTTTTTAAATACAAAAGCACTTTTAGAGAAAAATAAAGACATATTTAGAATCAGCGTGAGCAACTGCAACAAGTGATGTATCATTTCTCAATTTTTATAAATAGAAAGTTTATCCGCAGGAGTTTAAATTAAGAGTCTCGCTTGGGAATAATCCATCGCAACTCATCTTTTTTCTATCAATCTTCTTTTTGAACACTAGAAGCTAATAAGTCTATGTAAAAAAATTCATTTTTACCAGAAAACAAGTCGTGTCCACGATGTGCATGCTTTATTTGAGTGGCAGTCTAATTCTTTGTATACTCTATTTTCTGTTTTTTATTTAAATATGTAGATATCTGTTAGAAATAAAAAAATTAAGAGTACACAACACGTTTTGATATAACGATTACAATGAGTTGAGGACATCAGTTTTTTCTATCGATATTGTACCTTCCAGAAATCTTTAGAATTGTTCCGATCATGATTGTTCTGCGTGATGAGGCAAACGAGATTTTTCACTATCCACAATTATCATGCAGAACTGTTCTCTAAAATATTGATTAAATAGTATTTATTTCTGTTGAATGTTATGTTTCGAAATAAAATACTCATTCTTGTAGTATCTAATATTCAAACAGATGGGTGTGGGTGTGGGTGGTGTGAGTGTCGATACCACTGTGACCATAAGGTGAAAGAAGATCCACTCTCACACTCACACCCACATCCCACCCTATCTCGATTTATGATACGTCAAACCCGTTTATAATGATTGGTTGGTATACCTTGAATTCAATTCAGCTAGATAATGTGGACTGATCACTTCTTCAAAAATTTCAATTCGGCTTTTAATGTGTATGGCTATGATATTGGATAAGGTATGAGCCTTACCATAGTGTGACGAAGACCTTTTGTGGAAGAAGCAAAACCATTTCCATCAAATCAGATTTTTAATCCAAAGCATGCTGCGATGGTCGAATGGTTAAGGCATCAAATTCGAAATCTGATGGGATTTTCCCTCGTAGATTCAAATCCTACTCGTAGCGTCTTTTTTCGCTTCTTATCAGACGAATTCGTGTTACAAGGTTTGTCAGAACAGCGTCTTGTGTAAGTAAGGCAAAGAAATTACGCAAGAACACCATTCTGATGAAATAGATTTTTGGTAGAACTATCAATGGATTTATGATAGTTCATCTGAAAACACAAAGCTCACTATCAGTTTCATCACATATCTCATTGACATGCTTGTACAAGCACAAAATATCCTGAATAATATTTTATTTTGATTTTGGCCATCATAGAGCTTTTCAGAAAAACTTTCTCGTCTAATACAATAGACTAACAATGAGTTTTGATATTGGGGTGTGGGTGTGGCTTTTTCCTTAACCAACACCCAATCCCAAACACCCATCTTCACACCCACACCCACACCATCCTAAGTGACATTAAAATGGCAACACTGATGCATAATTATATTCAATAAAATGGTCAAGACTTGTCCCTGATTGACGAAACTGTTTGAATTCAGCTAACACAATCGTAGCATTTTATGCTGAAGATTTATTCTCGAAGATACAGAACAGATAAAAACTTAAGTGTAAAGAGTCAAATAATTCTTTTAGTTTTTTAAAAAATTTTGTTACATAAGTTATTTTTGGAATCTGTTTCTATTTAATATCCTCTAATTTTATTCTAAAAAAACTGATAAGTGACTGTTCAGGCGCAGTCACATTTTGTAAATAAATTGAAAATGGCTCAGTGTCGGTTTCTTCCGTCACTTTCGTTACTTTGAATAACGTATACGGTAATATTAACACTTCTTCCTCATGTTCAAATTGTGATATAGTTGGTAAACGATCTGATACTTGCGTCAAATCAATAGCCGTACTACATGGACTTGAAAATTCAAACACGAGTAAAACACTGTACAAATTATCAAGACGTGGTGCAGCAAAACCAGAAAATATTGATGGAACTATTTTATTTTTAGATGTTGATGAAAAGTTCCGTGTTTCTATGACACTACTTAGTGTTTTCATAGCATAATAAAATCGACTGACATCGTGTATTGTCATACCCACCCCACGGTAACAGATGCCTTGATATTTTCTGCCGGACAACAATAATAAATTCAGATACACTAATGTTGTATATGCATTTGCATGTTCTCGAATAGCCTTATAAAGACCATTCAACGTATACAAATGAATTAGATGATTGACATCGTTAGTTCGTAAAAACTCATCAAATGAGTTTTTCAATAAAATTTGATCCTGTGTATCAGTTTTACATGCATTTTGTACTTTTGCAACAATCATTTTAAACGTTTGTACAGGGTTGGAAAAAATATTATTCCAGGGGGGTAACGCCATAATTTCAAATAGGTGATATGATGAATTTTATACCAAATGAAAGCCCGTGAAAAATGGGATTTATTGATGCTAAATAGTAAGGGTTATGTAAACCTTTTAATATCGAACTTAAGAAACTTNTCAATGAATGGGAAAAGTATTTTGCAACAGCTGCAAATTTAAACGAGATAAATAATTCAGCTGTACTCAATTTAAACTTAGCTTCATTGATGGGAAAGAAGCTAAATGAGTTTTGGCGTTATGAAGGTTCATTGACAACACCACCTTGTACTGAAGGCATTATTTGGACTGTGTTCAAAACACCTATTACTTTTAATGAAAATTATATAAATGCTTTTCGAAAGAATATTTTCTTGAAAAATTATCGTCATCCACAAGCATTATATAAACGAGTGGTATATCGAAATTTTTTGAATGAAACTATGTCGTCAATACCTGATTACAAGTGTTGTTCAATAAGTTCGAACGGTTTGACAAATAAATTTTTCTTATCAATGTTAATCAAATATTTTATCATATTTCTTCCTTTTTTGTACTATTCTTCTTTTTTGATATAAATAAATAAAAGTTCTATGCAAGCATAATGCTTGTCACTACACGTCCTATATTCGATATGAATTTCGATGTTGAAATATTGCTTTTCAAGTTCTGTACTACTTGAAAAGTATTATTTTTCGAAAGGGAATTATTAAATACATATTTTGTAAAGAAAATATTTCTGTTTATGACTTATTGTCGTACCATAGTAGGCAACGCTTTTGAATTAACTTAATAGTTCTCATAAATAGAAGAGTATAAAATGTACGTATACCTATGTTTTTATAACTTTCTTTTAATGCTATCATTTATTAAAAGAAAAAAAGAGAAACAGAACAAAATTAAAGTAATTTTAGATCTCTTGTATGCATTGATATTTACCAGTACGTGTGCATTGAGAACAATTTGATCAATTCCATATGTTTTGTATACGTCGACATTTACAATATACAGATGTATTAGAATATATATTTTCTATATGATAAATTCAATAGGAGATTTAATATATTGACATATGCTTCGTGGGTAACAAATTAACTAACATTATTCTATACAAATTTTGAATAATTTTGTGCAAAAAATACATTCTGTAAAAACAAAACTCGAATATGAAAGAATAATTTGATTTCTTTAAAAAAACAAAATCATAATATTTTCTTGCTTATTTCGACTGATTGCTCGAGCTATCGAATAGACTAAATCATTTTCTTTTGATAATCACTAAAATAACTATTCATATTAGAATGCAATTATTCGTTATTTTGCTCTTATTATTGACTAATATTCATCGAATCATATGTGAAAGTTGGAACTATCATGATTTAGGACCTGATATTTGGAGTGAGACATATCCTTCATGTGCTGGACATTCTCAATCACCGATCAACATAAAAACAGCATGCACTATCTATCAAACATTTTCATCTTTTAGTTTTTCATCAACTTATAATCTTACTCATACTTTTAATGTTTTAAATAATGGACATACCATTGTTGGTACATACAATGGTAACGAATCATCACCGTTCAAATTGACTGGAGGTGGTTTGAATGGAACATTTGAATTTTCTAATTTTCATCTTCATTGGGATGAAAATTCTAAATCAGGCAGTGAACATCAAGTGTAAATTAGTCTTTAACAAATCTTTTTTATTCATAAAATCAATTTTTCTTTTGTTTAGAAATGGTATAAAACATGCAGGTGAGATTCATTTTGTTCATATTAATCCTGAAACAAAACAAATAGCTGTACTTGGTATCTTTATGGAAAGCAATCGAAATACAAGTAAAAATGGAACGATTCATATACGAAAAAGACGCAATAATATCTATGACACTGAAAATATAACAATCATTGAATGGGAAAAGTATTTTGCAACAGCTGCAAATTTAAACGAGATAAATAATTCAGCTGTACTCAANTTTTTGTCTTTCGACAAGACTTCTGAATTTTCGTTTTTCCTAAATCGGGATGTGGGTTTGGGTAGGGGTGTGCAGTGTCGGTGTGTGAGTGCGGTGAGTGGGTGTGACTGTGAGTATATACAACACCAAAACATTAACACATGCCCAGACCCACACCTCATTCCATCACACCCACACCCCTAAGCTACGGCAAATTAAAACATTAGTTGTTTTTTTTTACTTTTATTTAATTACTTTTTTTTTCTGCATGTATAAATATTATTACTTGCGCATTGTAAACTAGAAATATGGTCCAGTTTATAGAAAATTGGCATGAAAAGATCCAAATATTTTTAGTTTTTCGATAATTAAACATGGTAACTGCTCGTACTATCAACTGCATGCATATTAATACGAACACAAACGTTTAAATTAAATTTTCTTGTTCCATTGTTTCTAACAATTATTGTTAAAATAGAACATCATTTTTCAATTCAACAATTGATAATAATAAATTTTTATCGTCATTATCTCTATTCTGTTCAGAGAGTTAAAGAAAATATGAATTTGAACGAAATGATTGCGCAAATGTAGATGAAAAAAGTAAAGTGCTATCAATTGTAAATTATTTGGTTAAATTAAAACATCTTGTAAAATGAAAAGAACAGCAGTCAGTTATTCCAAATTCTATCTGTTTTTGGTTTTCGAAAATGTAAAAGAAGGCTTTTTTTTAATTTTAAAATTATCAATAAATGCAATTGCTTCAAGTAAAAATTTCGACACATTTGTGTAATATTTATATATATATTTTTCATTTTACTATTGCTTTAGTATTTATTTAATGAGCGCATTCAGCAACAAAAACCAGGCCATAAAAAATTCACTGTGATGACGTTTGCTGTCACATACACAGGATTGAATTAACAGAGGGATGAATTAAAAATTTGAATAACTGAATACATTTATAGTTCTTCATAGGCTTTCGTGCACATACATATGGCAGAGAATTGTATGTAAAACAGAAGAAAAAAACAATAGAATGAATGAAATCACAATCGGATGGAAGAAAACGTCATCTGGTAAGCATCAATATGCTTCTAACGTACAACATTTTCAACAGCATCCGAAACAAAAACTAAAGAGTCAAAAGAAAAAATCTAGGAAAAAAAAATGTTCGATTCAACCGCCGTACATCTACTGCTAAACAACAAGCGTTTGAAAATACAGAACCTAATCTTTCGGGAACAGCTCGATTCCAAAGATTAATTTTCGATGATCACGATCATGTTTCATCAATAACAGATAGTTTCGCCACTGAGTAAGATAAAATATATTCATTTGATTCAAACAAATTTGTACTGTACGAGCAGCAGTAATTACATTTATTATTGTGATATTGATTATCTTAGTTACAGCTATTTCTGTCGGTATTGTATTTGGTACTATAAAATCTCAACGAAGTGCATCCGGAACAGTGACAGAAAATACTAATCAAAATTCATGTAAATGAATATTCCTTTTGTCCTTTGATTAACAAAGATTATTTAACAGGACAAATTTTTTCTTGTTTCAGTATCAACAATATCAACAACGATTATTGCTAGCAGTGTTAGCATAGGAAGTCAAACTGGAGCACCCTGCTTATCATATACAACAATTAATGATCCTTCACGAAATGTCGCTCAAACTGGATTATATGGCTCTTGCGATATCGGACCACTATTCAATGCGGGTAATAATGGTTCTTGGATACGGTTTGTTGGTACTGGTGGAACTATAATTTCACTTGCACCACCTGGTATAACTCATTGTGGTGGTTTTTTTACCAGGTTGGTTTAATGGTACATTACCGATAACAGTGAATATTGTGGTCTATGGAAAGGCATGTTTCGAAAATTTTATCGAATTTTGTCTTGTCGCTACCGATATATCAGTGATCAACTGTGGTAGTTTCTACGTTTACTTTTTACCACCTGCGCGTATTTGTAACGAACGCTATTGTACTAAATGATTGATGTTTTTTTTGTTCACCAAACTGATTTAGTAGGCAGAATTCATCAAGTTACAAATATTTGTATAAATCATGAGAGATTTAAAAGATTCTATTAAAAAACGTATAGTAAAACATTGAAATCAAGGAAACCTTTGAACTTGTCAAATGATATCAATATGAATGGTGCTTTTTTTCATGTATTTTGTTTTTATTGAATTAATGGCACAAATACCGCAAACAAAACTTGTAGATAAAGTTCATCAAAATTATTAGGAAAATACTTTCGGAATGGGAAACCCACAGTTTCTCATGATCAATAATAAATGAATCATTCTTGTGGAATTGTAATATGAAAAATAACGAAGTTATGTAAGAAATAAACCACAAGACATGCAAACGACATCTATTAGATATAATTTACATTTCTAGACGCGAGCACGATGCAAATCAATGTTACATATATATTCATAAGAAATTCATTCTGAACCCTTGTATTGTATGCTACATCAAATTAATCTGACATCGATTTTCATTAGAAAAAAATTGAACTCATATATGCTATCGCTCGTACTGATACAATGATTCATCTTATATTCATGAAACAGAAAAGAGCAAATGAGATGCCTGACTGAAAGAAACTGCGTTATACGTCGTGATGAGCGCATTACACAGCAAAGAAGCCTTGAAAAGTTAAGAGGAATGATATGACTACCTTGTTGCTATCGTACACCATTGGTTTGTTTGACTTATTATGTGTCGAGCAGCATCTGTGATTGCATTGTTTCACTGCTTACATTGTATGACACTGCTACATCCTATCTTTCATTGTATTAATATCTCTCTTGTTCTGTTTATGTAATCATATACGCCCTTTTCTCACGATATCACCTATATTCTTATCTATTCTCTACTCTCTTATTTCCTTTCACTCGCGTATTCTTGTTATCTCTGTTGCACATGTACGACGAACCAATTCGTGTAACAAATAAAGTGGACAGTAATTGAAAAACAACATCTGCGCTTATTGTTCCGAATTATCATCATGAGTGGTGATGTCATTGGAAAAATTAATTATCTTGCACACACAATAGACGGCTGTTCTCCATGGATAGAGGCGGGTTCGAGACTAGCAGTGCAAAGAACAAATATGAAACAAGTACCAACTCCTGTGACCATCCACGATTTGCGAGACAAAGAGAAGAGTGTTGATCTCGATATCAATGGCTTAAAAGTGGTCCAATACGAAGGATATCTCCATGAAGAATTTCAGGATAACAGCGAAGCACAACGAGCTTATTACGAAGAGGTTTCTAATTTTCTGAAAAAGCATCTGAACGCTTCTAGAGTCCTTGTCTATCACCATGTCTTTCGCGCTCGAGGTCCACCACGTACGACCGATCAATATGATCAATCTCATAGAAATCCTGCCTTTGATCCTCATGTTGACAGCGATCCAGCTGGGATTCGCAAAAAAATGAAAGAAATGCTTGGAGAAGAAGAAGCTGAGAAAGCGATGCAAACTCGATATCAAGCGATCAATGTCTGGCGACTATTGGGTCCCAATGCAATAACGGATAAGCCATTGGCAATTTGTGACTATCGCTCGATTGACGTCGAAAGCGATGTTCATCTAATCGAACTTCGAGGGTCCGTGAATACTTCTGCAGCCTATACGATAAGTCGCAGCACCCAAGATGCTCACGTATGGTACTATCTAAGCCAGATGCGATCCAACGAGATGTTCATCTTCAAAACATTCGATAGCAAGTCCGATGTTGCTCAATTTGCATTTCATACGGCTTTCATAAATGAAAATATGTCGCCATTAAATGTTGAACAAAAGAGTATTGAACTACGTTGTTTTATTTTCTACGATCAATAATTACTGCATTAGTTTGATTGATTTGCAATACAAGAGATAACAAAGTTCTTTAGCGAATAAAGTATTGAATGTCGTATTAAAAACTGAACCAACATCCACGCACACTCTTCCAGATTCTGTACTTCATAATTTATTATTGATGTAAATCGATCATATCAGAGTGAATCACATGAAAAAATAATGCAACTATTGCTTAATTCTCTTGCAGTCTACTGCAAAATTAGGCTTGTTGACTTAAATCCAAGAAAAAGCAGTTTATCAACTTTAGGGATCTGAAGTTGGCATTTTCAATATAAAACTTTTCTAACAGAGGAGGATATCGTTTAATGTGTGTGAAAAATTTTCGATATCTTTAATATGATATTAATACCCAAGCTTCTTATGGAACTTTTCTTAATCACATGTTGACCAACATTGGACCTCAATTAGAATTTTATTTTACCACTAGCAGCAAATTGTTATTCTTACTGTCCAACAGAAAATTCTTCATAAAGCCTTTTTTCTTTTAATATAAAACTTTCATATAGTTTAAGTTATTGGTCTGATCATTTCCTTTTTTTTTCTGTAACAGATGAACATACTCTACTCGATCGTTTATATCTTTACTGAAGATATTTTAAGGGAGCTTATATGACAAATCCAGATACGCTGAGTTTATCTCATCATCCTATACCTTTTATTGGTCTCTTAGAAGTGGTATGCTTGTGAAAGCTCCTAAAACAGTAGATATGCATTCGAATTCACATTAGATTCGATTGTTTGGTGAACAATATGTTCATGTTTTTCTTAGGTTTGGTTTCGTTATCAATTATTCTATCGTTCTTTATTTACTTTCTATATAGTATGTACTCACTCTCTTGTGTAGTTACAAAACGAAGAAGAAAAGTCTATTCGATGATTATCATTTGGAGAAAACTTGAAAATAAATTACAAAAATCTAAAAATATTAGCTATTTGTCATTAGTCTTTTGTATTGTTTTTGAAAAATTGCCTTTGGTTTGTGATAAGTTAACGAAGTTAAATCTTCTCAACATTTAATTTTATGAACTAAAGTATTGTCACTTAAGTTCTTATAGTAAATAAAGGTTTTCTTTTAATGATCTGCTACTTCGTCTCGTGAGGTATTCTGATTATTAAAATATTCAATCTGTCTTTTATGATAATAAAACATTAATATTCTCACTTGTTTCATTAGACGAAAGATGCACAAAATATCGAAGTTAAAGAATATCACAAATCTTAAAACTTATGAAGTCGACTTTTGTTGTCATTTGGTAATAACGAGCAAAACATAGTATCTAACATCTTAAGAACAACACGTCCATAGTTCATAAGAAAGTAGAAGGCGCAATATATTGTTTATTCTAATTAACATGGAGTATCTAAAAGTCTGGCGTGAAAGTAAATTCGTATAACTTCTTTATTTGTCAAAACCAATCAACTAATTTTATTTGATATAGTAGCGATGAATGCGAAGTTTTTATTGATACATATCAACTTTGTAAATGACGTTGCAGGATATCATTTGTGACTGAAATAGAAAAAGACAGTTTTTTCAAGTTTCATAAAAAAAAACTTCGTATCATTTATTTCTTGATCATTTCAAATTTTACGATATTTTAATTTTCCAATCCCCCAATGTCATTTATCGGATATGTTTTTGAGATATCCTCAAAAAAAGAGATCGAGTAGTAATATTTGCTGATATTTCGCTAAAATATGCTAATAAAATGGTATTGGACAATTGAAAAGTCAAAATATCGAAGAATTTGAAATGATCAAAAAATAAACGATACGAAGTTTTTTTTTTATGAAACTCGAAAACTGTTTTTTTTGTATTTCAGTCAAAAGTGATATCCTGCAACATTATTTGCAAGGTTGATCCACGAAGTTATACGAATTTACTTGCTCGCCGAACTTTTGAGACAGCCTGTACATCTTATGCGTAGGGCCATACAAAAGGTTTTTCGTCCGACCCTCCTAAAAGCTGAATATCGAGGTCAAGTGTTCTGCTATAATACATAGGCATATGTAGAATCAAGTTCAAAATTTTAGACCTCTAATGAGACTCAAGGACAGCAATTCGATATTATATGCGTTTTGAGCAGCCATTAATGATCATTCAAAAACAACGATCTCAAACTCTAGTTTGATGACCTATTTTAATGAAATGTAACAATGAATTACTTTGAAAAACAACAATAGAACCACCCACCAAATATTTCTCCGTTTCAGATTGAAATTCGAACCTATGGTCTTACTACAAAAGTGGAATCCTACAACGAAAATTCGCTAAAAACGTTCGAATTTTCTAAGAAACAGACTTTTTTTTGGTAGACATAGTTGTATAAGATGTACTAAGTTCCGAATCAATAGTAAATTGACACTTGAAAATGTTCCTTTGTACGTTACCAGTATACCCTATTTATTTGATGAGCCTATTAAGAATAACTGCTGAGCTTAAAACAATCTAAATACATACAAAAAGAATGAAGCCAACTACCTGACTAGTCTATTAGTAAACCAGTGTTTATTGGTTTGGTCTGATTTGAGTTGATCAGACTAGTTCCTAATAAGTTATGGTGTAATATTAAATCAATTATTTATTGCAAGATGTAGGATTGTGGAAGTAGACACTCTAGTTCTGTGATATAGAACTAAGATTCCTTCAATCATATTAAATTATGATATATATTAATTCGATATTGGAATTAATTTTTCGTTTAAATTTATTAGAAAAATTTTCATAAGAACAAAACAATTATAAATAAAATGTGTTCATTTTTATAATCAAATAATCGTCTACTTTTGTAAAGTTTCATTGATTTCATTCAAAACGAAATGCTGATAAAAGTTAAAACGAGTTTTGAAACAGAGTTATTATCCAGTGGATGTCGTAGCGCATATAGCAAACGTTGAATTCCAAGTTGTGCTGGAAGGACAATAGCAAGTGCCACCTGTACAAGTTCCTGAAACACAAGTACTACTACTACAAATTAGTCCTGCACCAGCCGCACTTAAACAGGTGCTTGTGTTTACTGGATAATTAGGCCATAACGTACAAGGATCACCGTTCGAAACTCGATCCAGACATGTAAGACCATTCTACAATTATTCAATAACAATTAAACAACGTTCAATGAATTTTTTTTACTCACATACCCAATATTTAGTTGTTGCACATTCACAAGTAGAATTTATACCAGGATAATTACCACCGAGTGGACAGGAAACTAAATTGTAATCAGCACATTGATACGTTGCATTACATATAGCACTTGTATTACTACCCCAAGCGGGTGTGCCTTTATCTCGACAATATGTTCCATTCCACCATTGTAAACTAGTACAATTACTAGAAGAATATTTTCATAAAATTTATATTCTATGAATAAAATTTATTAAATACATACCACCATCCGGATCCAGTTATATTTGTAACACTATCATTCATACATTGTAAATTAGCTGTTTTATCACATTCATTACTTGAACAATTCGTTACTAGTGTGCAAGCTTCATGACGCTAGAAAACAACAAAAAAACAACATTTCTTGAAAACAAGAAAAATTAAAAGAATCTAACATGTTTTGAAACAACACATGCTTGTAAACAATCGTCCCAAAATGAAGTCGTATTACAAAGACATTGTAATGCTGGTGGTACTGTTGTACCATCTACACAAATTAAATTAACTGGACTAAAATCTCGACATTCTGAAGTAATTGAACATGGATCTGTATAATTTCTTTTAGGTTGACATCGACTACCATCCCAATAATCTGTATAAACACATTTGCATGTACCATTTTCACATTTTAAATAATTAAAATCTTGACATTCAAGATCACCATAACATATTGTTTGATTAATCGATAATTTAGGTATACATATATATGATCGATTCGTAACATATAATGAATCCCAAATATAACTTGTATTATAACAATCACATTGTTGAAATAGACTACCGCCAAGACCTTGACATTGTAAACCACGATTATCATCACAAACATATGATGATGAACATGTTGTATTATACCATTGTTTAATTATACATGTATAATTCCAAAAATAATTTTTATCACAATCACATGTACCTATTGATTGTGTATAATTACTACAAAAAAGACCATCTGATGCAATACAATGTGTATCATTTGAACATTCACCACCAATTGATAATTTACTTGCACATGTTGTACCATCCCAATATGACCATGAACTATTACATAGACATATACCACTTGTATTTGCTCCACCATAATATGATAAATCACAATAAAGATTTTGTGATGTACTGCATGAAAGAGTAGCTGTACAATTTTCCATATAACCTGCAGCAGGTGCACAATAACCCATAACACCACTACTACTAATCGTAGAATCATAATTTGAACCTGATGGACATAAACAAAGATTATTTGAACATGCTAAATTAATTCGATAATCGCATTGAGATGTTGATGTACAAGATTGATTATATACACGACGTGGAACACAAAAACCATTCGCTAATGAAGCACTACTATTATAATATTTATATGTTGAACATTGACACACACCCAAAATAATAAAAAATAAAATAGTGTAAATTGAAATTTTCTTTTTATTTTACTTACCATATTCACTTCCATAAGGATTAACATAATTAGCACAAATGAGACCTTGACCAACGGGACCTGTATCATCACACCAAGAGTCTTGATATGGATAACAATATTGATTTACTGTTCGTTTATATTCACATGTACCTGAATATAAATTCCCGTTCCAAAACATTGATGAATTACAACGACAATAGCTTCCAACTGTAGAATTACAATATAAATAACGTGTACTATCACAATTAGAATCTGAAGAACATGTTGCATTGTATAAACCTTGATAAGCACACTAAAATAGAATAAATGAACTATAGCATTTATACATGTATTTTAAATTTTATGTACGTACAGCATATCCATTCCAATTCATTCCAGATTTGCATTGGCATTGAAGTTGAGTGCTTCCACTACTGCAGAGAAAGAAAAAAAATACAAATAAATTTTTTTTTCTAAAATCTAACTTGTTCTTCCAATTTACCTAAGTAAAACGCTGACACACTGCAAACTTCCGAGTGCATCACACATAGAATCATTAACACATGTTCGATTTATCATTCGTCGTCGTTCACAAATTCGATATGAATCACTCCAAAAATGTGAATAAGCACATCCACAACGATAATTATTACATAGCAAACCTAAATCTTGACGACAATCCGAATTTGATTTGCATGCACCACCATTTGTTTCTTTTTTAAGTGTAACAACTGTACTAAATAAAATAAATGCTGTAAAAGTAACGATAGTTAACGAAACTAAAAGTAATAATAGCCATTGAGGAATATTCAAATCACGCATCCAAAATGGAATCGGTTTTTGTTTCTGGACAATGTCATATTCAGAAACTAGAACATTGTTTGCACCAAGATTTTTAACAACATGTTCTTGTAAGAGTGTATTTGGATTCTATGTAAAAGAACCAAAAAAAAAAAGGATTATTTAATATTCTTAAATATCAAAGTTCACAAACTTGTTGTTGAACGGGAGCGACAGCTTTGCGTTTCGTTGCTCCACGCATTTGAAATCTTGATTGAAATCGTTACAAAATAATGGAATAGAGTATGCCTTTATTAATTTGCAAGAACAAAAACACGAAAGTGTGTCCTTAACTCGTTACCAACTGACTTGCAAAAATTTTTTAAGTAAATAAGTTTTTTTCACATCGTAGATCGTTTAAGTATGCACAGAAGAAAAAAACAAACCTTTTTTTTGTCTAAAATAAACAATCAACTTTGCATACGCAAACATCTTGCTTCTCATATTTTTAATTTATTTTTTATGTTTGCTATTATCAGATCTTGCTTTTCGAGTATTTTTTTCAATGTATGGCTATGTTGGCATGCAGTTTTTTTAATTGTTTAATGGAACAAAATTAAAATCAAGGCGTATTTTTTTCTCGATGATAATAATGTGCTTTATTGTTAGAATCAAGAATTATTTTGTATTTTCTTGTTTTTTTCATGTTAAAATATTAACTTCTAGTAAAATAGGTTTTCTAGTGCTATAATAAAATGTCTCTGTTGTTAAAAAGGTAAATATAGTATGAAGATAAAATCATTATTAATTTCTTATGGCTTTTATTTAAAATACGTCAACGATTTTTTTTCATCTCTCGTTTGCTTGCCATCGGCATATACAAGATTTCATCTCATGTTAAAATTAATTCTTAAGAAAGAAAAGAGATGTTGATGTTTTAAAAAATTTAAATGATTACATTTGAAGATGCTGAATATCTACGATGACTATTGTGTAGTGTGGGTGTTGCAAACAGCATCGTTACTAAACACTCAATAGAAATAAAAACCCATGATGTTCGATTATGAACACAAAATAAACAATGCATGACATTAGATTGATCAGCTCATTGCTTCTCACTATTCAATTATATCTCTGTTTGTGTGGTTAACGAACACTTCCCTCTTTCCGAGATTTGTCGAAAACGACTCGACGAAAAATTATGAAATACTCATGGTAGATAGATCTCAATAAGTTGTCAATGGCACAGAATTATTAAATGCTTCATTTTTTGGAGTTCCTAGACCTCAAGAGAAGCAAAATACTGAAAGTACTGTCAAAAAACGTATTTCGAGTGTTAGATATAATAAAAGTACCCACTAACAACGATCCATAGATGGTATTTAAAGTGCAAATATATTATGCTGTTATTTTCCATAGAAAACGAAAAAAAAAATGTTACCTTATGTATTCTCTATAATAGATTAGTAACTACCTTCTTTCAGAACTTAATACTCTACCAAAATAAAAACACAAGTATGTACCATACTTTCTTAAAAAAAAAACGAAAATTTCAATTTATTTTGAAATAAAAAAAAATGATTTCGTAGTTTCACATCTAATTGAAAACGAATTCTACCTAAATTTAATTTTTCTTCGAACATGTAAATAGAGTTGAGGAAAATTTTTCTTTTGATTACTGTTAATATAGAAATTCAAACATCTAATCCTAAAATCCTTGAAAATTTTTGGATATGAGTTACATTCTTTCGATTCTTATTTTAACACTTAAAATCTAAACATTGATCGAATATATTATAACTTCTAACTACATATATAAAATCAATTTGAAAACTTTTATTAATCTATCATCAGATCTTTGTTTCGTTTGCTCGTCAAATTTACAGACAAAAAAAAAATACAAACAACATTAAGACGATACGATTTGTACAGAAATGAACGTTGTGCATGAACATCTCATTTGACTAGATGGCACTCGTTTAGACAAAGAAAAAAAAAAAAAAAAAAAAGACAACAAAATTATATAAATAATAAATAATGAGAATAAATAATATTATGGAATGATATTACAAACTTTTTAAACGGAATGTAAGTACATCAAAACTACAGATTCAACTACACATAAAAAAAAGACATGCTACTTCGCGATTCGAAAGAAGCTTTAGATTTTTTTTGTACATTGCACATTCTCGATCTCGGCCTTAAGAACTATAAAAAAAAAAACAAAGAAACAAAATTTGAATTATCTCACTGTTGTGAACAGAAAAGAAAAGAAATTTATCGCATCAGTTGTCTAATCAAATGCTGAGGTAATAATTGTTGACAATTAGTATTATCTAATAATATTGTCGATCGAATTATTTTCAAACAAATTTCACGTAATAATGAACATATTTGGCAACAATGTTTAAGAATCATTGTACTATGTGCACTTGTTGATGATACAGCTGGATAAATTGATAGATTCTTTGGTATTGAATCAAAAGCAATACCCATTGATTGATTATTAATTGTATATGAAAGTGTTCGAACATCAGCATCAAATTCCAAGCCAACTAAAACTGGTCGTAGTGGTTCAAATGGTTTCATTAAATAAGAACGTGAAATTCCATTATGCCATAATAAACCATGATGTGATAAAGACCAACCATGTTGATCAATTCCAAGCAAATCAGTAAAATTTTCTGATGTTAATTTTTGTTCTTTAGCTAAAATAAAAAATTATATATATATTTTGTTTTATATGAATTTTCAAGGACGTTCCGAGTAGAGAGTAACTAGAGCCTATCGTGTCTAGGGACACTCCTGTTGATTGTTAAAAAAGTTTAATTAACTTACTTGCAATACCAAACATAAGAGATGTTCCATAAACAGCTGGCATATATATTTCCCAATAGAATTTTCCATTTGATGGTAATGGTCTATCAGCAAGAATAACTTGTGTTGATGAACTTATTCTTGGATGAAACAAAATTTGTTTATTATGATTGATTAAAATTGTTGTTGAATTTGGATTTGACCATTTCCATTTATTTTCAATACAAATTTTATTAAAATGATGTCGACTTTTAATATGACATATTAAACTTGTCGACGACCACCATAATGGTGGTGATGTAGATCGAACTACACTTCTATTAGGAATGTTCGGTTGTTGAATGATAATATTGTTTTTTCTTTTTCTGTTTCTTCGTCTTTTTTCTAGCCAATACCATCGTTGGAAATTTTTTTTTTCTTCTTGTTTTTTGCTCATGTTCATTCACGAAGAATTTTCTTTATGTGTTTGTGTAGATGGAAAGCGACAGTAGACTGACTGTGTGTGTGTGTTTTTTTACCTCAATAGCACGCGTCGCTCAATTAGCAGAATAGGAAAAAAAAGAGTTGACAAATGATATTAATGAAAGCTCAGCACGATACGACTTCTCTTCCTCTCTCTCTCTCGCTCTTTGTCCGACATCTGCCAAAGTAAAAGATGCCATATGTTTTTATGTTCTACATTTTTAATGAAAGAGATAATAGTATATAAAGGACTCCTGAGGCAATATTCCACTATATCTTATTTCGTCTTCGAATCGATCGTCCGCATCATGTTATACATAGAGCAATTAAAGTAAGATATATCGAATAACAGCTGGTGTATTTTCTCTCATCATGCGCTTGTTTTTGTTCAATTAATGATTGGCGACACGCGACAAAGCGCCTTGTGAACTCGATGATCAATCAATAGAAGAGGAGGAAGTCGATTTCAATCTTTTATGTTAAATGAACAGTAAAGAGAGTGTGAGAGAAAAATAAAAGTAAGTACACACGTGACCATCTGTCATCGTGTACACGATATTTGAAACAAAGAGCATATATACACAATAGTGAAGTTAATCAAGTATTCTTTCTAATCCTGATAACGAGCACAAATGGCATTATATATATATATATGTATAACAGTTGTTCATTGAGAAAACGCCATTTGCTTTTTAATTTTCTATCGTTGCTTGAGTGATTCTTAGTTTATAGCTTTCACATATTGTTTGCTGATCTTTATCATGAATAGCCTGCTGAGAAGAGGAAAAGATTATGACGATTTGGATACACGGATAATTACATAAGCATCGAACTTGATGAATTAAATACAATTCTGATAAATGTAATCAATTGGAATAAATGAATCTATTATGGATAAAAAAAAAACAGCTTAGAGAAGGGCTATGCCTATATATATATGTAGCAGCGTATAAATTTCGAATTAAAGATTGAGTATATCCAAACAGTGATGAAGCAAAAATTAAGTATCATTGCTCATTCGCACACTATTACAATAGTTTCAAACTCTAACTTTGAATATTTCCATCGATTTTCATATTGAAAAAAGTATTAAGACAAAGTCATCACTTATCCTTATTGAGTATTCTTCTACTTTCAACGTTTTTTTTTCTTCTTTCTATCATTATATTTTTCCATTTCCGATAGAACACACTGAGAGTTTTAAGATTAAAATATATTTCCGTTTCTTCGAAAGTAATATACTTCATTAGTTGTTGTGAAGTGTGACAGGTGTGTTGTCTAATCTCTCTCAATTATAAAATTCAACGTGATTAAATTTGATTATTTGTATTAAAAAATATATACATGATGCGTACGTTACAAATAAAAAAAAAACAATCTCATATTGCTTTTGTTAAATAAAACAAAGAAAAAACAATTAACAAGTCGAAAAGTTACATACATAAAACGTGTATATAAGTCAAGAAAAAAAACAAGCAGATCTTTGGATAAATAAAAACTAAAAAATGATGTGGAATGTGACAAGTTGAGAAATAAAAACAACTATGGAAACAATATAAGAATGGAATGATGACAAATGAATTATATAAACATGAACACATATAAAAGCTTATCACGAAAAAAAAAAAGAAATCAAGTACATATATATTTTTTTTTTCTTTTGATTTACATCAGTAGGAGATTTTTTAATGATTTCATTTTGATTATGAAGATCATTGGGGGTTGCCTGATGGAAATGACCTTTGTTGACGACTCTAAAATGACATTGAATATTAAATAAAAAAATTTTTCAATAACAAATACTAATTTTTCAGCAATCGAAAAAATTTTTTTTTTATGTATTAGATCGAAATAAAAAAAACTCATGCATTGGATATTAATCGAGCAAGGTTAGATATGAGCACATGCTTTCGTACTGATTATTTTTCTATCGTTTATTTTGTATTTGCTGATTTTTATTTGCTGTAAATGCTTGCATCATCTAAAATAATTTATAATATTGAAGAAAATGTCGATATTTATAAGAGCTGAATTTGCAATTTGTTTAAATATAATTGTAAACAAATGAAGAGCAGCAAAATGAAGGTTTTTAAACGATATAGAATGATTATAAAACTTACTCGCGGTGGTATAAATCTGCCTCGTCGTACTTCCGACATAGGATTATTATTATTATTAGAATTTCGATTACCACTTGTATTATTATTTGAAGCTATAGTTAATAATCCAAGTGGTACTTCCGAAGTAGCAGATAATGAATTTGTTTTATTTGAATTCATTAGTCGTCTTGAAAAACTTGGAGTATTATTTGATCGTTCATTATCGACTTCTAAATCTTCGAGTTTTTGTGTTAAGGCAAGTTTTTGTTCAATAGCCATGCGAAGTAATGAATTAAGTGTTTTCTTTTCTTCTTCAGATGAATGAACTTGTCTTTGTAATTCATCTAATTGTGTAACATATTCGTCACAACGTGCAGCAAACATAGCACGTAATGATGCAAATGTAGCTGCATCTTCTTTTAATGATTGTAATTCATTACGTAATTTAGACATTGTTTCAGTAACAATTAATTTTTCATTTTCATATTTCGATTTTAAATTAGCTAATGCTATTTCAGCTGTTTGTTTATTAGCTTTGAGAACTGTACGTAATGTACCAATTTGTTCACGTTTTGTTGCTAATAATGAACGCAGTTTGATAATCTAAAGTAAATAAAGAAAAGAAAAAAAAACATTTGAACGTGTTTTTTTGTTGTCTAGAAACTTCTAGAGACGATCGAATTTAAAATTTTTAGCGCCCGAATATAGTCGGACTGTAGTTCCAAAGATACAAGATACTTTTTTTCGATTCTGTGTAGTCGGTAACTAGTGCATACTATACATTTTTAAGACGACCAGAGCCCACCGGATTCGGAGTCAGCAGGACAAGCTCTAGTGACTTCTATAGGACAAAACTGATTTTAGTTGTTTCTTACAATACATAGAAACTAGATATTGTATCATAAAATAAATTGTTGTGCGTTAAGAATCAATATGATTTCGAAGTTTCTTTTCCATAAAAAAGTGAACTTTCGGTCAAAGACCTTAACTCTTGCTACAAAAAACATAAATTTTTCGTATATCAATCAGACAATAATCTATATAACCTACAGTGTATGCTACCCAAATCAGATGATTATTAATAAATGGATCATTCGAACTTTAGTATAGAGGAGACGAGGTTCTTAGCTTCATCTTTTATTCTGCAAAACAGATATTAATTTCATCAGTCATCTTAGCTGCTTTTGTATCAAGATGAGTTGATTTTTACTTATCTAATTAGTCTCAATCGAAAATTTTCTTATTAACTCTTGGACTAAAGTAATTCTAATTGTATGAAATTTTCAGTTCTATATCATGATGTTTTCGATAGATGTTCAACAAACAAAGATAAAAAATAGCTCATTTTTTTTTCAAATTGAAAGAGCATGTCAGCTTGCAGTGCACTTTTTTCTTAATTTCTTCCTTTTCATACGGAGAGCAAAGATGACAAGTTCAATAACTCTCAAAAGATGGTCATCTATTTATAGGAGTGCTTTTTTATATAATCATAAAAATTTTTCATTTAAAAAAAATGTTAATCGAGCTAAAATAATTTTTTTTTACATTAAATCAGTAATTATTACTGTCATTATCCGACTCTTTTCATGTGCACATCACTGAATAGATCAACATTAAACTTTTAACCAACTATTCATTTATTCCCTATTTTGTCGCTTCATATGACTCATTATAAAATAGATAAGATCATAGAATGAGCTGAGAGTATAATTGTTTTTAAATCTGATTTAGTCCGCTTAGACAGGCTAACATAAATTATTTAGTCCCTGTAGAAAATATTTAAAAGCCTATCAGATAATACTGGCTAAAATCAATGAGCATTGCATGATTTGTTCAAAGAATATCTCCCATGGGAAACTTCTCCAGATGTCAAATCTGTTTTCGACGTAGACGATATTTATTTCATTAGTACTAGTGAGTAAGAGAAAAGTCTAGAATGGTTTGTTTTTCTAGATCTTCGTTCTTCAAGTATTGAAATTTTACTAGGTTTTTCAACAAAAAACTATGATCACGTGAAAAATCGACTTTCGACTTTAAACAAATAAAGTTCTTAATGAAATTAGATGATTGTGAAACTAGTCTTTTCTTTCTGAAGATGTAAGTATAGAGAAAAAGTTTGCTTTGCCACACGAGAAAATTTCGCATATTGAATATTTTTGGATAGGAGACGCTAGAAAAGTTACAACTTGTTCCATGAACTAATCTCATTGAGAACTTTATTCGTGCAAAGTTTGAAGTCAATCTTCTACATGATCTGAGAGTGACAAAAACTTTTTGTTGAAAAACTTAGTAAAATTTCAATATGATCAAATGAAAACCATCTCTATCGAAATGCAATTTGATACTTTGAAGAGATGTTCTTTCATCAGCTGATTTTTTTTCTTACGAAAGAACACTTTCAACTAATAAATCATTTTTAAATTTGAACTCAGTACATCAGATGAAGTCCAGTGCGATATAAAAAAAATCTCAAAGGGATAAGTCGTCATAGGCTTTCTGTCCGTAGTTATAGGCATTTTATTGACTTGGTATATACCAATCCGGAGACTAAATTTCTAGTAAAATACCTATAACTTTCGACAGAGAACCTATGACGACTTATTCTTTTGAGATTTTTCATAACTCATTAGAATCCATTTTATGTACTAAGTTCGAATTCAAAAGCAATTTGATTTTGATTATTTGAGAATCAATTGAAAAATGTAAACTTACTTGATCTTGTAATTCTTTAGTTTCATTAGGTAAATCATTATTTGATACAGTTACATTAGTTGATGATTGTTCTTTATGTTTAATATGATCTAAAACTTTATTAAATGATTGTTTTAATTGTTTAATTTGTTCTTGAACAATGTCTAATATATGTTCATTCATAGCTGTATCAATAATTTTATTATTTGAATTAGTTAACTGTTGTTTTTTTAATTGAATATCATTCGATGGAATTGATAAACCAGTTGTTGTAAAAATATATGAATGAATATTTTCTAATTCTTCACTTAAATTCATCTAAAAATTGAAAGAATAATAAATAGCAAAAATATATATATATATATATAAAGAGTCTCCCAGAAGTTCTGAAACGATTTTAAGAATTCACCGTTCTCGCATTCTACAAAAGCAAATTCGCTGAAACTTTGGTAGATTGTTGTACATATGTGTTACTACATAACTGCAAAGTTTCAGGTCTATAGCTTTTACTATGGATGAGAGCCTAGAATAACACTGTCATGTACTATTTTCGAAATTTTCCTGTATTCTAGGTCTGTCAAAATGTATATATCTCGGCTTAGGCAGATGATAAAATCTTGAATTTTTTCTTAAAAGATGCGCCGTGAAAAGCTCTACAAAAATTGTAATAACAAATCCCTATTGACTTGTGTTCATACTCAAAATGAAAAAACTACATGATAGTACGACTTCTCACCATACTGTAAGTAATTAAAAAAAGCTTTGCAAGACCTTTTTGTTTTGCATGTATCTCAGCTTGAGAAAATGNCTTTGTTGAGTTCATTAGTGCTACTTAATATGGGTTCTTCCCGACCTTGTTCTTATAGATATAAAGCCTGAGGATGCCTCTATCATTGATAAAAAAAATCAGCTTCTTTGCTCGAGCCATAAGGAAGATATTTAATTTTTTTTGGGTAACATGACTTTTGGGCCACCCTGTATTTCAAAATCAATTTCTTACTTTTGATAAATAATAACAAATACTAAAATCGTTAAAATAATACTTAAGAAAATAAGACTAATAATAATATTGTTTGATATTCGATTATGTCGATTGATAGATGCTAAAAGAAAAATAAGTTTAAAAAATTATGAAAAATAATATAAATTATGTAAACCATCTATTCGATTAATTGAACATAATATTGAAATATTTAATTTTTCATTTTTATTACTACCAATAAGATTATTTTCCACAATAATAGAATAATTTTCTTTTACATCAATCATATCAGCAGTTACATACTAAAAAAAATCAATTATTATTTAAATTTATAAAAAATATAATTCATAAGATTTTAGAATATAAAATTTATCTACATTCAATCAGATGTAACAATAATCAATGTTTATCGAAATAAACACTTCCATGATAGAAGATCTTTAGTTTTTTTTTATACTAAATTTACCTTCATAAAAATGTTTATTATCTCACAGCAATATTCTATTTCAATAATCAACAAATATATAAATAAAACTTCTAAATTCGTGATTGATAAATGAAGAGAAGATGATGTATTTCGTCTAAAGCATCATTTGCTGTGTAAATCTTCTAATGTAAAAAACATGTGGAAGGTTACATGATTAGATAGTTTTAAGCATATGGTAAGACTAGGATGGCAAATAATCGATAATTAATGGTCAATTATATGACATGTATGATGGAAATGATATCTTTGTTTTTGACGATTGATGAGATTTTTATAGCTACCATAACATTAGCACTTGGATTGACACTGACAAGAAAATTGAAGTTGAACTCGAAAAAAATATCAATAACATCTTCAAAGAAAATGCTTTTTTGCCTTTAAATATCGATTATATTAGCATACGAACGAATAATATATCTCATATTGTCTTTATACTTGTTGTATTGATCGATCATTGATGAAATCTCGAAAATCCATTCGTTTTCATTATGAATATCAAATTTTATGAAACTCGAACCAAAAAGAAAATGTTGAAGTATAGAGAAAGATTTTTTTTCAACTTTCACCAACATCTTATTGAGAAACACATATTATGCGCAATTTCATTCGTTAGCGATGTGATGAAGAACAACAAAAAAAATGCTTTTACTACCGAATGAGAAGTTTCGGAATTTTTAGATGATGATAAGAAGAAAGTTTTTGTTTCAAAGTTTAATTTGTTGAAAATTTCATCATAGATGAGATTCGTGCTGCAAAGTTTATCTTGAAGTTTTCAAAATTTTTTTCTCTTATGTTTAGCGAAATATTTGTTAATTACTTTTCAATGAATCAATTAATTAACTAATTAATAATTAGCTGAAAAAGTCAATATTTTTTGCAGACGTCTTTGTTAAAAGAAATTATTTAGAAAACTAACCCTTATGCAGAATCAAAGTCAAATGAAAGGTGTTGTGTATGTTCTATTTTTGTCTGAAATGGTACATGTAAAATATTGATTTCAACGAATTTCTTAAACATATTATTCTGTTAATAATATGTTTTACTTTTTGATTCAATGAAATATTTTGCATTGATGGAACTTACTTTATGAATATCATAAATATTTTTTTTCATAAAACGACTTTCACTTATTTGATAGAATACATAATGTGGTTTAATAGTCATTATATGTTTATGATTATTATGTAAATGCATATTTATCATTAAACGAGATTTATGTTGATTAATTGGTTTAATTGAACAAGTTAATGGTGAATAAATAGGATAAAAGTCTTCACAATATTTATAAGTTGTTCCAAGAAATTCTAATTGAATTGTTGATACAATTAATTTTATTTTACATCTTAAATTTTTATCTTTTAAATCATAAATAAATGAATTTGATGTTTTAATAATAGGTAATTGTTGTTTTGAAGAATAAAGCTTATCACTTAATACTATATAATCTTCATGATTATATATAGTTAAATTATAGATATGATTGTGCATTAAAAATTTAGAACGATTAAATTCAATTAATAATAATTGATGATTAATACGATAACATGATATGGATTGATCAAGTAAATGACTATCAATAAGTTTATGTGATGAGATATTTTCATTTTTATTTGATGATAATGTTCGTGCAGTTATTGTTACATTTCGACTATAGCGTTTCCAAATATCTACTGTTGATATATCAATTGAATAAAGTGTATTTGAATATAAAGATGAAAATGTATAATTTGATTGTGTATGATTAACGAAAATACGAAATTGAATTGTATTATTAAGTCTATGTGACAAAACAAAAGTTTTTAGAAAAATTTATAATATTGTTTTTCTTTTCTTACTTTAAAATTAAATGATAATAAGTTACATTAGCATTCCGATTGTAATTATCATCTTTCCATTGAAGAGTTAAACTTGTATTTGTTCTTTTTTTAACAGAAATATGCCGAACAGGTAGAGGACGATCTGAATATATATATATATGGAGTAATTTATTTAATAAATAGAGATTTAGCAGGTTCATGAAGAAAAATAGTAGTAAATTATTCAGCTCAGGTTTTGTACCTAACCATTGGCCTCTCATAGCGATTCTAGAAGAACAACCGATGAAAAAATGATTGAAATAGAATATTGGTGTTTCCAATATATCGATTAAAGACATTTTAGTTTGTAGAGCTTGCCGGATGGATCCCAGACTCGACAGGCTCTACTCGCTCGTGATAGCAGTTTGGTTTCTCTATTGATAATTGGGGAAGAACAACTTGACAAAAATTCTATTTGAAGTCTTCCGTTAATCTAGTGCAATTCAGCGAAAGAACATCTTAAAGAGCTCGGATAATATCTCATTTTATAGAGAGTAATTTACTCTATCATATCGTGTGTAGGGAGTAAATTTTATATGAGATTTATCGACGTTAAAAAACTAAAGACTTGGTTTTCTGGAAAGTTCGTAAGTACCATTCTGTGTTTTATCACCTCTTTTCTACGTAGCTCTCTTGTGAAACTTTCGAATAGTATTGATATCAGTAGTAATTATTAGATACCACATAACACATATTTATCGTATATCTTGTTTGTTTGTAGAAAAATATTTTATTTAACAAGTCCAATCGATTGATTTTGTAACTCATCTTTTTCTACGATGGAGCAACAAAAGTTAAAATATTTTCTCGTGATTCTACAAATAGTTATTCCGACGACCAAAGAAGAGAGGTAATAAAAGATTAACAAATAGGATGATAGAAAACATGTTGACAAACTGTAATGAATGACTAAAGAAAGAACTTTATTTTGTTTCTATGCTATCACAGTGCACTCTTATTGTATTAAATAAATCGATCATGGTACATGGCAGAGATTCACGGAGTATTCCCCGGCATGTCTTGCATTTTGTACGGTTCTAATTCGTGTTGCTCGTTGAGCAAGTTTTAAAAGCACGCAATTTAGTTCGTCGGATATTCGCCCATCCTATCTTTAAATGAATGAAATGGTATAGCATACGCATTCCGTAAAGGTTTGTGTAACGTTGCATGGATCTTTGGTACATATTCAAGAAATGAATTTGTATAACATTGCTAAACGGTATAATTTTTAAAATGATTTTACTCTAGGGTTATTTCATCAAATAGTAATCTATTAAGTGCACTCCAATTCCGGATTTTCTGGAGAATAGTTTATCAAAAAAAAGTCGAAACATTTAGAGCAGGTGGATCTTGATAAATAGAATAAAAGTTTTCATCTTGGATACTGTCTTCTATGAGATACTGGAATCACAATGACCTCAACTTACATCTCCGTTTCTTCGAGATGCTGTAAACCCCTTCCCATAATAGAAGCCCCTATCAGAAGGATCAATGTGAAAGATGTATTAGAAGCCCCCCATTTGAAAAACTTTTTGAAAATTTTTACTGGAATTTTCATCATAAAACTTTCAAAATTCAAGATCTGAAAGTAAGAATTTGTTTCATTTTCTTATTTACCAGCATAAAAATCTTGAAATCTCCTAGAAAATCGTTTGAACAACTCTTGAAAATCCCTAAAACCGTTTGAAATTTTTCCCATCTAATAATAATAATGATTTAACAGGAGCATATAACATTATTGTTTAAATTTGATAGAAAGAAACAGAAATTTTTTGTTTTGTTTTATCTCATATCGACATTTCGAGGTATAAGTGCTCATTTCCGAGATATCGAATGAGATTGTTACAAAAATAGAAAATTTTACACAGAGCAAAAAAAGAACAAAGGCCTTGTACACACTACACGAACTTAATTTGAATTAAGCAACGTGATTGAACTTTTAATGCACCAATCACGTCTCGTAATTCAATTTTAATTAATTCCACATCGTGTAATGTGTACAAGATCATAACGAATAGAAGTGAATTATAAATACCTCTATAAAATATGAAAAGAGATAAATAAATGTCTCTTTTCCTTCTCTTTGTTTTACGTAAAATTTTCTATTTTTGTAACAATCTCATCTTATATCTCTGTAATGAAGATTTATACTTCGAAACATCGATATGAAATAAAATAATAAGAAAAATTTGAAAAAAGAAATTTCCGCTTCTTTCTATTAAATCTAAACAACAATGTTATAGGCAGCTGTAAAATCATTATTATTGTTTTCAAAGATATTTTCCATCTAAAACTATTGAAAAATTTTAGGACTTAATAGAAGTCCCCGGAGGCTTCTAAACTGAGGGGGGGGGGGTATTCAATTGAGGTGGAAATTTTTTTCACACGCACTAGACACTGTTTAAGATGGGTATCATTTTTTTAATGCTTCAAATAAAAAAGCAAATTATCGAAGATACCCTAAAAAAACGCCTATTATTTTTCGAAACAAAAAGAAATACTCATTCCAAACAATGCGTATTATACGTGGAAAAAGCTTCAGCTCGATCGGGCGTACAAGGTCGAAGAAACAACAAGATTTCTACATAGTTTTTCATGAAAAAAGTTAATTTGAGAAAAACACGAAACATTGCACACACTTCGCTATTTCCGTGATATGAATTTGATAACGTTTAAATAAAATTTTTAGATTCTAAAATGTAGGTACTCTTAATGAAAACAATGTATAATAACTGACAAAGTAAATGAAAAGAAAAACAATTGCCATAGATAATATTTTCCATTCATCAGTTTCTTATAGATACAATGATTTGTTTTACTTATGTAAACAATACTAGGACAACGCAGGGTAACAAAGGATTCTTTTGAGTTCTATACTATTTTCTTCGAATATAAATCAATCATTCGTTCTTTGAATGAGAAAAAGAACAAATGACTACGATTATGAGAATAAGATGACAGCTTATTCTCAAATTCCATTTCTCTAGGCTTTTTTATTCAACAATACAAAAACTACAAGCCTAAATAATTTTATTTGATGATTATATATTATTTAACAATATGAAATATGAAATCTGTTGATTTTTCATTTTCTCAATCGTTCTAAATATATAACAATAAACATAATTCTTACCATAAATTCGAATTTTAATTCTATATTTTTCATTTGTTTCAATTCTTGTGTGTGAAATCTTCGAACAAATGAATTCTCGATCATATGGTTGTAAACCATAAATACGATAATATTCTTCACGAACAATTTCAGATCGATTATTAATTACATCATACCATTGAATATTAAAATTATGTTTATAATTTAATGGACATCGAATTAATGTTGTATTCGTTTGTGGATTAAAAAAGACAGCTTGATTGATTTCATGAATAGTTGTTAAAGAATTAAATGATAAATTTATAAATAAAAAAATTAATAATAAATAATAAATAAAATTTATATTATGTCCATTAAAAGCAATATAGTTCATTCTAAAATTGAATATAGTATTCGATTTAACGAAAAAAACAAACGAAAATACCTGAAAATAAACACAGATTGAATAGGTAATTGACATTTGATTTTCATTGGCCTGTTCTTATATTCAATTGTAGCATCATGGAATGACGACATCTAACTGTTAGAGTAATGGAAAAAAAAGCAGGTGGTATATGGCAAGATTTTCAATCATTGATATAGCAAATGACTCGTTTTTTTTTTCTGCATGTATTTATATTATAGTATTTTGTTATTTAATAAAACGCTTTGCGTGTTTCAATTATAATTATTGAAAAAGAAAAGAAGGGAAATTCATCATTATTGTTGATGTATCGTTAAGTCCCTCCTGCATTTTGCCAGGTCAATTAATATCTATTTTTTTCCTTTTATCTTTAATAACGACGACCTAAATGATTGTATCGCAGTTCTATTGGGATTTTTTTTTCGTGGTGAAGAAGAAAAGAACACGACAGCTAAATGTTTGCATCATTTATCACGAAATGTCACTTGTTTAGTTTATGGTCCAGATCAACAGTATTTGACTCGTAGATTATTTATATTATTGTAGTTTGTTTCATAGAGAAACTCGGAATTCTTTACACAATACAAAGAATTATTTAAGTTTTATGTATATATTCAGTGAAATTCTTTTAATATTTTGTTATTAATTGAAAATAATATGAGTTAATAAGAAGTAATATCTTTTTATTGTTCGCTGATAAATTGAACCATGTACATAAAAAGGTCAGTTTTTATCTTATTAATAATTCTTACATAACTTGTCTTTTTGATGAAACCTTATACATAAATGTTTCTAATTATCGGCTATGCTCTGTTAAATATACTAATCTTTCATATCAAACACAAATTGATCTTTCAATCGTGTATGTATGCATGGTCAATGACGAACGAATTAATATCTTCTGTAAAATTGATACAAAACAACAATATGATTACATTTGATAGAATAAAGTCTTTTTTTTTTTCCTTTCAATTTCCTTTGTATGAAACAATATGTGAAATAATTAGGATTGTCATGATACGGAATGTCATTATACAAGCTGTCTGACAACAAAAAAAAAAAAGAAGAAGAATAGAAAGGGAGAACATTGTACAAAAACAAACAGAACACACTATTGATTCTAGTTGTCAACAAAGCACGATGTAGGCCTTTGTCTTTGTCTACCACTTTGTTCTTACTTGTGCGACACAAAAAGAAGATATTAGCCTATATGTCGTCATTCCTGTACGTTATTCAAAGAAGAAAAGGAAAAAAATATATCAGAGTGCGACAGGAAGAGATGCTTACGCGTCTTTCGTGCACTCATATTTTGTACAGGAATCTAGAGAAGAAAGAGAGAGAGAGAGAGAAAAGAGAAAAAATTACGAATGGAACTACCATAGCTGGCGCATAGATGGATGAAACCGTTAGGACAGCTAACTGCACCACATGTTGAGAGTCTCGTCTTCGTCTATATAGTAAAGAATAAATCAAGCGAGAGATTGATGATACCCAGCCAAGATTTGTTTTCTAGCACACCAACCGTTCGTTCGTTTTCTCCTCCCTCTTATTTATATTTATATTATTATGCTTTCATTTTAGAAGAAGAATTAGTTGTGGTAACAGCCACAATAATATCTCCTATCTGGGAAACTTTTTCTGTTTGTTAAAATAATTATTTCAGAATTATTCAACGAATTTTTCATTTATATTGAAATACAACAATGAGGTAAGACAAAAAAAAAGATCATCAGATAATCATTTCGAAGATTTATTAATTCCTTTGATAGATTCAGACAGCAAAAAAACAAAAAAAAGATTCTTTCGAAGATTTATTTAATATATATATATAGTTAATAAACATAAAGCAGTTGTTTAGCGGTTATCGTCATCATCAACCTTTTCAACAAAATACACATAGCGCGTAGTACTGACGACAAAGAATAGTGTTATAAGCATGTCTGTTTAATATAAAGAAAAAAAAAATCTATTTCTAATTTTCTGTTTCTTATTAATAAATTAACTCTTGAAAATAAACAGCTAAATCAATGATTATAATTAACAAAATTTAATCTATTTTTGAAAGATTGATGTCTCATATGACAATTAACAAAATTTTTTCATGCTGAGAATCATTAAGAAAAAAAAAAATCATTTCTTTTTATATTTATTCTAGTGTATGTACAAAATGTACGAATACATTTCCAGCTGGATCTCGTAAGTGTTTATTTGTTTGTTTGTTTTTCTATATTAATTATTTTGTTTATTCATACATATTTATTTAGGTATTACGGAGTTTGATGGTAAACAATATCATGTATGTTTATAGAAAAAACAAAAGTTAAAAAATAAATTCTTTGATAATAATTCTTCTTTTTCTAGCCTGAATGTTTTGCTTGTGTTGATTGTCGAAAAGCAATTACATCACAATTTTATCCATTTAATAATGATTATTTATGTGGAACATGTCATGAACAACGTTTTCCACGCAAACGTTGTGCTAAATGTAATTCAGTGATTACATCGGCTGGTATTACATTTGCTGGAGCTTCTTATCATGCAGCTTGTTTCTTGTGTATGTATCCACAATTAATATTACAAAAAAAAAAGAAATAAAATAATTAATCAAGAGAATTTTTATATTCTAACTGAAAAGTATTAAAAATACTTCAAAATATAACAGTCTAACTAATAATTAGATTTGGTTATCTGTAATCCTTAGACAGAAAATTGTTGCTATTTTATCAGTATCACTTAAGATAATGCTCTACATCATTATAATTATGACAGTATTACATAAAATGATAAAGAAAAAAGTTCATTTGTTCCAAATAGAACTTTCTTCTAATTTAGTTTTCATATGGAAATATGTTTGCATGCTAAAATTAACCTTGATAACTTCTTCCTTTAACTAAGCTTTTAACGAAAATAACCTTGAAGTAAATTATGATCATTAATAAGTGTAACTACTCTTGTTAAAAGAAAATCTCTCCAAAGTAGGTAGTTTTTTGCAGACAAGAGCATATAGGCTTCGATTTGGGAGCGATTGAGAAAAATCAATTCTTTACCCACGTTATGCGTTGCGTGCGTAGAAATGTTAAGCTGTTGTAGAAAAGCTATCTACTAAGTTTAAGAACGCAGCTTTTCTCATTCACTTTCTCTCTTCAACTATCTGTCAAATTTTTATGTCTTTTCACTTCCAAAACATAAAAAAGAGTACTAGATAAGAACTCAAAATTCCTCAATAATTGATTATCAAGACATATTTTGTCTAAGTCTCATTAGACCTTGTTTGTAACTGACACGTAAAAATTCGAAGGTTATGTATTTTTGATCAACAAATTTCCGAATCAATAGATTGTATTTATTCATGTCAAAATCGAATATACAATAAACAAACAATGCTTTTATTCTTTTTTTTTGTCAATGAATATTTTGAATTAATTTATGAAACATTTTTAGGTGTAACATGTAAACAACCAATATCGGCTCATTCGAAAATATCAATGGTTGATGGTCAACCATGTTGTGCTAAATGTTATGAAGATAGACATGCAAAACGATGTAGTCTTTGTCAAAAAGCTATTGTTGCTGATGTTGAATATCTTGAATTTGAAGATAAATATTGGCATAAAGAATGTTTTACATGTTCAAAATGTCAGGTAGAAAAAAAAAAAAAAATAATATATTTGTTTTGTCTTATTTCTATTTTTATTATGTAGAAAGGTATTGCTGAAGAAAGTTTTTATCAAGATGGAAATTTAATTTTATGCAAAGACTGCATTTAATTACTGAAGAAAAAGAAAATTAGAATTTTGAAACTTTGAAAAATCAACTATTTCGTTTTGTTTTTAAAAACTTTATGTGTGTGTGTGTGTGTGTGCGTTTTATTGCTTTCAAAATTATATTGCTTCTACCATTTGCCTTTCTTGCTCGTCCCCAACTATATTTTATTTTGACAATTTTATGATGCTTTATTAGTATTTTCTTTTCTTTGGAAAACAAGATCGAGTTATAGATTCTACTATTAGAGTGAATTAATTGAGAAATTTAATCAAATGCTTAGAAACATTACAAAGTTTCACAATGAAATCATGCTACTGTTATTTTTTTTTATGCTTTAAAAACTTATTTTTTGGTTTGTAAATAAAATGCATTCTTCGATCATTGAAGTGTGTCATCAAACAATAACTAGTAATAGACTCATCATTATGTAATAAATTTTAATGAAAAAGTCATTTTTATATGAAAGATTCAAATAGTTGCAAATTTCTTTTTGTTCAAGAAAATGTTATGTGAAGACATAAATACTGAATTTATGTAATTCAATTGCCATTAAAGAAATCTGGTGTCAATTCTTATGTATTTCACTTTAATGGCAATGCCAACCAACAAAATAAATTACCATTAATGATTAGAGGTGTGACAGCTAATAGTTCTATGAACAGAGAACAGAAGGTTAGACCTCCTGGTACAAAGTTCGTTTTTTTTTAACACGGATTAGATCAATTGATTAATTCTTTTCACATGACCTAGATTATGTAATAACTTTTTGTACTAGCTCTAATTCTTCTACAAGTTTATTCTAGTAAACTTTTGTATCTCAATTCTATCACTCAGAAAGGATAAAATGAAATATTTCTCAACATTAATTCATACACAAAGTACTGATGACCTCGTTCTATTTCAAGCATTAGTTGATACTAATTCAGCTACTTGATCGAGACCTATCACGTATCTGTCAGCGAATCGTAAATCAAAATATGTTGTCATAGATAAATAGAGGAAAAAAGACTTTCATCTTTACTTACACAGTTGTAAAAATACAACTCTGATGAAACTGAACAAATATAATAATACTATATCATAGTATGTGAGAATTTGTCTCACATAACTATGAACAAACAAATTTAATCAATGAACTTTAGTATAAATCAAATCAATTAATACTCAACAATTTTATGCAAAGCTGCGTACATTTTGCTTCCTTCTTTGGCATAATTTAAGCATTCTTAAATTATAAATTATTCTATCAAGCATATTCGACAATTAAACAATGATTCTACTTTTTAAAATTTAAAATACCGAATATTATTCACTATTATGTACCATTAAAAGTAAAGAGCACCATCGAAATTTATTCATTTTATACAAACTTGATTAATAATGCTAGGAAATTAATTGACAGATTTCGAAAATATCTGCAGTTTGTGCAAATTTTTTCCGTATCTGAATTTATTTCAAAATAACTCACTTTACATCATCAACTATTCCATATTCGCTCATCAATAAAACGATATTCTATTTGAATCTTTGCTATACTCTAACAAAAATCATTTAATATACTTTTGATTCTATCTGATTGTTTTCAAACATGCACACTCGAATTTTGAACAGAAGAGAAAAAAAAAAGAAAAGTAGAAGAAAAGAAAAAGAAGAAGAAACGATTGTCAAATTCACCATGTAGCAAACCAAAAAAAAAAATAATAAGAATAAGAATACTGGTAATAATTTTCAAAAATTAATCGGTCATGCTTGTATTTGAATAAATATTTCCATCATGATTGATTATTCCATTGGTTTCTAAACATTTTGTAATTGATATATTTGGTATAAACCAGTTTTCGACTAGAGTATATGAACCATCATGATCTGAGTTAGACTTTTTTTCATATGTTACATTTGTATGTAATAATTTTCCATGATATTTATTCAATAATAATTGGGCTAATTCATCTCTTAACATAATTTGACGTTCAATAGGAATATAAAAATAATCATCACAATAACTAACAGCCATGCCCATTTTTCGTGCTTGTTTAGCAAGTACAATACGTTGTAGTTGATCAAATGGTTGACATGATATAAGTTTATCATCAAATGGAAATGTACATTGACATGATATATTAGATGGATCATTAAAACTTGAAATTATTTTTAAAAATTGTCTTCCTATTGGTTCAATATGAAATAAACAAATTAATTTTAATGGACCAATTAATGTTAATATTCTTCCACCTTGATTTAAATTTGATATTAATGTAAAATTTAAACCAATTTGTAATTGTTTATTTTGTTCATTTGTTGTATTTAAACGATTTTCTATTTCATTTACAAGTCGATCAATTTGATAATATTTTGCTTCTGAACAAAGTTGTTTTAATTCAGTAAAATTTTCTGGTAAAAGTAATTTTTTATCACGAAAATAATTTAATATATAACGAAAATATGTACCATCGCGATCAATAAAATAATGACCATTTTTATCTAATTGTGTTGTTGTTCGATTTGAAATTATTAAAGCTAATAATGATTGAGAATCAACATTTTCATTGATTGTTGAAGGTGTTGTTGAATAAATATGACCGCCAATATTGAATGTAACAATATCATCCTTGAAAGTTTTCTTTTCACTATCTGTACATTTGAGTATGAGTGACGAGACAGATAAACTCCGGGGTGCAGGAACCGGCGGCGGTGGCGACGGCATCCTGAAAATATTCTGGAATATTGACATTCACAGACACCGAGAAAAGGAGGAACGAAGAACGACAACTAGGTTTCTTTTCTTCCTCTTTTCTTTTTGTGTTTTTTTTTGTTGTCGTCTTCTTTTTCTGATAGTACTGCGAAAAGCCCCGTTGGTAGCAATTAGAGAAGACTGTAGTCGGTTTTTTTCTTTTGCTCTCTTGAAAAAATCTGCTATCGTTATAGATTGATAATTATCAGAATAATAGAACAGAAAAACAAATGAACGAGATGAAAAAATCTATCGAACTTCTGCTCTTATTTTATTCAATTATTCGATTACTAACAAACGAAAGAAATTACATAATACAAAGCGATTTGGAGCATGTCGTTGTTCGCTCATTCCTTATTGATTCTAATGATCAAATGATACTTATAAGCGAGAGTCTAAAATATAGTTTAGAAACACTTGATTCAAAGAATACCGCGTAAAACTTGTATAATCCTTTAAACGACAACGGCCTGATCGAATTACGAGAAAGACGAGTGAATCGTAAATAATGCTCGAATGCACAAACACACATTATACATACTGACTTTTATTACTTTAGCTCTTCTTTTTTTTCTCGTTCGCTTTTTCATTTTTTTTTCTTTTCTCTTTCGATCAACATACTCTTATAATTACTCTCTTGAACGGCCTTGACAATCGACGAGACACGAGGAAAAAAAAATACACCAAATCATAATAATGAAACTTTTGATCATATATATATCTATGTGTGCACGGGTTCAATAAGGATTCATAATTAAACACACATAGTAACCATCAAGTTCTTCCGAATCAGTCAACAGTTCGATTTAGAGCAAAGAATGACCTTGCAGCTGTCGCTGTTCTCCCGCCGCCGTCTCTATCCCTGTGGTATCATATACACAAGGTTATATTGTAAAATCGAGTCTTCGCATGCCGAAGAAAGAAAAAAAGGCGAGAGTTTTCCTTGGTATGGCTGACAATATTAGTCGAGACAAACGGAATCAACAAACGATAAAAGAAAAGATAGATAATGAATAAAAAAGAAAAAAACTCTAAGTGTCGTCTAACAAGGACAAGAGCAATTTATAGAAATATGTCTTTAATAGAAGTAGTGTCGTCACAAACAAGAATCGAATCGAAGAACACAAACTATATAGTGGCTGTTTTTTTATTTATTTCATTTCTTCTTCAAGTATGTTGTTAAGGTAAATAGCAGGTAATATGAACTCGAGGTTAAATCTCCCCAATAATAATATATAAAAAAACAAAAACAACAATAATATACTTTTTTCTTCATCTTACCTTCTTTTGCTTTTCTTGTAATATCTTACTAAATGAATGCCCAATCTTTTTTTTTTTTTATTACATATATATACATATACCATCAAATCTTATCTCATTTATATACCATCTTTTTTTGTCATCACTGACTACCTTGTCTTCAAGAAGTATGCACTTGGATACATACATATATGTATGTTATGAATATATATTGGAGGTCAAGGCAGTCGAAACGTCGTCGGTCTATGCGACCTTGAGTATGATTAGTATGCATGTAGCATAAATAAATGTATACATATTGACAGTCAATGTTCAGCAACAAGAAGAAAGAAGACATTTTTTTTTTCTTTTATTTATCAATTTATTTTATTTCATATAACATAATAGCATTAAAGCATATTTTGAATATTTATTTACAAGTAAACAGATGTGAGAAAACTCACTGAGGCAAGATTTATCATTCGTATTTGTTTATTTCTTGATTAAATTCTAATATTCTTCGTCTAGAATAATGAAAAAGAAAAATATTCATGAGAATTCTTTTTTCTTTCATATACCTGTAATTTCTATAGTCCATTCTGGATATTTTTTCTTTAGAATTTCAACCGTTTTTTCATGATCAGCTCGACCAAAATCCTAAACATTTTCTTCAAAATAATTTCTTACTTAAATTTTAAAAAAAATTTACCACTGAATAACCGTAAACTGATATTGTTCGTATTTGTGGATCAACACGAATACGACCACCACCTTTACAATTTAATTTCAATTTCGTTGGATCAATTTGGTTTTTCATTATATCGAGAACATCCGCTAAAATAAAATAAATAATTATAATTCAATTTTGTATTTTTCTATTTGATTTTTACCATGATAAGCACATGCAGCATCACCACGAACAACGAATTTTGATTGACCATAAGTTGCTCCACGATCACGAACTTCAATTAATATATATTTAAAACAACCAGCTTCGCCAATATCAACATCAGATACATCTGATATTTCTCGAATTTTTTTACTCATCGATAAATCTATCCAAAATTGATGAAGAATATATTTTTCTTGAAAACGTTTTGCATATTGTAAAAGTTCAAGACTATTACGCCGTTTACGACAAGATTCTTTAGCTGTTGGTGACATCGAAAAAAGAAAAAGTAAGACGCAATCACTAAACGTTTATACACTTTCTGCTTGTCTTTCATCGATTGCTTTTCTGTTTTTATAATACTCGGAAAAAAAAAAGAAAAAAAAAAGCGCAAACAAAAAGTCAGGTGTAACAGGTTTATTTTTTTTTTGCACTCCCATGTTAATTATGTCTAGAGTATAAGATGTAATGCGCACATTTTTTTTATAAACAAAACCTATTCAATCAAAACTAAAATGTCTCCTTCAAAAGAAGAAAAACGAGCATGATTAATGTAAAAAAATAACTAGACTGTAACATGTATATAGGTGTGTATGCACACAATCAAAATAATCATTGGATAATTAATCGGCGCACGTCTGCATATGCGTGCATATCTTATTGGAATAACGACGCATAGGTAAATATTTTCTCCTGACATCAATGATTTGTTTGTTTCTTTTTATAAACATGACAAATGATGTATGACGATACATACGTAATACAATGTCATTTAGCAGACGATTTTTTAATAAACTAGTCCAAAGTTCGAAGTGCAAAAAGAAATATTATTTCGTCGACATTATGATATAAAGTGTGAAATTTGTAAAACAATCCTAGCAAAAAATCGCATCAAGACTAGTATTTCATAGATATGTAGCATTATTTCAATTTTTCGAGAAGACGAAACGTTCATAGAAATTAGAAAGTCTTCTTTATATAGTTCTAGTAGTATTATTTTTTTTTCGTAAATATAAACTTTCAGATACATGTATTTATTCCCTAGGGTTATCTCTTATCTCTTTCCTCTATTCATAATCGACTTCCTATTCACTTTTTATTCTCTATTAAATAGATTATTGTTTTTCAAAAATATCTTAATATCTATTTTTTTTTTTACACGAAAACAAACATGTACATTGTATCATATAATTTATTTTGTCTTGAAAATAATTAGAAAACAAACATAATTTATTTTTTTTTTAAACACGTCGAATAATACTCAAAGCTGGAAATAAAATCTTGAAAATTTCACACCATATCGATCGTGTTTTATCTGTTTTATCATAATAAAATTCTTTCGCTATATGACAACCCATAACTCCAGCACTTCCAGCTGCCATTATTGTTGATCGAGTAAGCATAACCAAGCCACTTTGGTTCCATGTTAAAGTTTTACATAAAAATTCTCCAAATGGTAAAAGACAATAATAACTAATAGGAGGTGTTACATAAAAAAATTCATTAAGAAATGTAAAAAAACATATAAAAGTTGAAATTGTAGCATAGAATGTAAACGAAAGAAAACAATGTACATTGCATATAGCAATACAACGATTAACAAAAAAACAATGATGAAATCGATCAGAAAAATGTAATAAACATATAGGACATTTATTATTATTCTTTGTTATTAATGTAGTTGGTAGAATAGCTGTAACAAGAAAAATTGCTAATTGATATTGAATAAAAATCCATATTAAAAGTAAATAAATATAAGGATTAAGTGACGTTATTGTTGAAAGCATATAAAATAGTCCGTGACTATAAAGTAATAATAACCATCTACCAACTTTACTACATTCAAGTAAATATCGAGATGTTTTCGCCACGCTTATATATAATCTGAAAAGAAATAGTTGTTCAATGATTTTTATTTAATCTTTTCAGTAAAAAAAAAAGAAGCAAAACAACAAACGCACGCAAAAAAAAACAAGATTTATTAAGCAAGTGCATCAACAAGTGCATCTTTTATTGTTTTATTATTTGTCGTTGTTGTTGAGCCAGTTAAATTATGTTGTCCCAATTTGAATACACTTTCAATAACACTTATTTCATGTGCTGTTGTATCTAATCCACAAAAACCAATCCAATCATTAACTAAAAGTCCAGCACCAATAACATCACTACCACGATTAACTGTACCAGCAACAAGTGGTACTTGTAATAATGATGATAATTCTTCTTGTTCTTGTACAGATGTTTTTGGATGTACAAGACCACCTTGATTTGTAAAAACTGAATAACTACCAACAAGAACACGATCAGCTATTGTCTGTCGAAAACATTCAACATTAAGTGTATCAGTTAAAATTTGTTCTGTTTCTTTATCTAAATCAGGATGTATTAATGCAACATAATCATTACATGCAATAACATTTCCTAATGCAGATAAACGTTCTTCACAACGTCTTAAACGAACATTATCTGGTAAAGAATTACGAATATGTTGTAATTCTTGATCAGTTGTTGATGATGGTACAATAAGACCATGACGATTTCCAACTGTTAAACGACCAACAATACGACAATCACCTAAATAATGCCAAAGAATTTTTTTTTTCTTTTGTTAATATATAGAAAAAAAAAAAAAAGAAGCAAAAGTTTTTTATTTACCAACTGATGAATGAATAACAGGAATATGATCACTAAGTTCACTTTCAAATGTTGAATAGAAATTTTCTGATCCACCAATACCGACAAGACAATAAGCGTTTGTTACGCGAGCAAATACACCAATATCATTACTGCTTTCAAATTGTGCGCGTACAGCCATGAAAAATTTTAATTGAAATTTAGTATTACTTGCTAATCTACAAAGAATGAATAGAGATTTCAATCTTTTGATGACTTGTTTATCATTCGAATTTCAACTGTAGTAGAAAATCGCATGCGAAAAAAGCTCATAGTCTTCTCTCTGAAACACTGAAGTTATTCATCTTGATCTGTCACCATCAGAAGAAAAAAAACGAAGAAGCAAAAAGAACAACATCTTCTTGTTTTTGTTCAGTTGAAATTTTCCAAGAAGAGAAAAAACAGAAAAACAAATAGTGACAACAACAAACAATAAATTTTCACGAAAACGTTTTATTTTTAATATTTGTCATTTATCTAACGTCGTTGATAAGTCGTTCGTCCAGTTCCGGATGTTGTTTTACGTGAACCACTATTACCTGTTCCACGTTTTTTAAGTGGTCCTTTAACAAAAGCCCAATCAACATGAAGTGTATGACCAAGTAAATCTTGTCCATTAATACCTTCTAAAGCTTCTTTTGCTTCTTTAAATGTTTCATATTCTACAAGTGCATATCCTTTAGCATAACCAGTTCTTCGATCCAAATTTAAATGCATATTTTTTATATTACCATATTCACGAAATAAATCATACATATTATCTTCTTGTGCTTCTTCATGTACATTTGTTATAAATAAAATCCATCCTTCAACAGATCTTGCTGGACCAGGATTTCCACTATCATTATCAGTTGTAACTGTATCATAATCACCCGTTTGCATTGCTAAACGATCACTTTGTTCATTAAAACCACGACCTTTTCGATGACGTGCATTAGATTTAATTTGATGAATAGAATCATCTTCATCATGATCACCAACTATAATATCATTAGGATTATCCATTGTTTCATCTTCATCTTGGACTTCAACTTCAACATCGGCATTACTCATTTCTTTAGTGTTCGGAAAGAATTGATAGTAAATGAATGAATTAATATGTTGAAATGTAACGATAGCAAGAAAATCAACAAATAAACAAAGAGAATCGGCATAACGAATAAGAATAAAGACGAAAATTATTTATTTTATCAGAAACAAAAAAAAACAATTTTCTTATGAAAAATTTAATTGATATTTAAAGGAATGTTTGAAATAAAAGAAAAGAAAAACAATGAAAAAATCTACTGACATCTATGTTAAATACAATTGGTAATCTTGATGAAACAGATTTCTCCAAAACCATTTTAATTTCAAATGTGGTGCCTTAAAGGAATTTTAATTTTATGTTATATATCTATGATAATTGCTCAATCATTACCATTATTACTATTGGTTTCTTTCGATGGTTTTCGTCATGATTATCCAAAACTTCATGGACCTTTAAAAAACTTTCATCGATTACAAGAACGTGGTGTTCATGCACAAAAAATGATACCAACTTTTGCAACAACAACGTTTCCTAATCATTATACGTATGTGTATTTTTATTAGATATTTGTATTCAATACTTTTTTTATATGCATCAAAAAGGAAAAAAATTAATTAAACAAGATTTTGCTTGAGATAAGTAATAGATTTTTTGGTATTTAGCTGTGATCAACAATCTGATAGATTTTGAAAATAAGATTTAATCGTTTTAGTAAATCATTATGATAGAGAATTTTTGATTTATTATTGATTGTTTCTAGACTAAAAATATAAAATATTCGAGGTAAGTAGTCAGCGTTTTTTTTTGCAGTTTGTTTATGTCATATTGTTATTCATTAATACTAATACTCATCTTATATTGTTTTGAATATATTTATTGATAACATACTACTGCAAATTTCATGATGAATTAACAAATAATTCCTTCTGGAAAAGATCATCTAGAATGAATATTCATTATTTAAGGTTACTAAATCCAATAAAAATAAATCTGTTAAATATTCTTTTTTTTTTTATAATTTTCTTTGAATTTCGTAATATGTCAAAAATACTGTGCTTGAGAAAAAGAATGACTTGATAAATAGATACGAGATATTTGTCTTTAATATCATTTAGTATGATAACTGGTCTTTACGAAGAAGTTCATGGTTTAATATCAAATCAAATGTTTGATCCGAAAACGAATGTTACATTTGATTCATCAAATAATATAACTAATGTTAATTGGTGGCCATATCCATCAATATGGTCCATTAATGAACAACGAAAAGGAGCTCGATCTGGTGTTGTTGGTTGGCCACAAATGTCCGTTTACACATCAAAATATCAATCATTTAGTCGAAAACATGCATTTCGAGATATGATTGATAAAATGATACTTTGGTTTAATGATCCCATTGAACCAATTAATTTTGGTGCTATGTATTTTTTTGAACCTGATTTAACTGGTTAGTGTCTCTTATCGGTTATTTAATCATATAATTTTTTTTCCTAAACATTCAGGTCATCGAACAGGACCTTATTCAAAAAATATGACAAAAATGGTTCGTGAATGTGATGAACATTTAGGTTATTTATTAGATAAAATTGATGCAAATGAAAAATTACGTGAGAATCTTCATTTAATTGTTACATCTGATCATGGCATGGAACAAATAAATGGTACAGATAATCCAGTATATATTGAAGATTATATTGATAGAACTAAAGTTAAAGCGTATGGTGCCCCACCGGTGATGAATATTTTTGTTCAATCAGGTAAAGTTTATTTTAATTCGATTAAAGAAAAATTCATTTTTGTTTTTGTTTCAGAAAATGATATTGATATTGTTTTGAAAAATTTATCTAAAATTCCACATTCACAAAGTTATAAAAGAAAAGATATACCCGAACGTTATCATTATAAAAATCATGAACGTATTGGTGATATATTACTTATATTTGAAGCTGGTTATGAAATTCTTCGACGTCCATCTTGTATGAATATATTTTTTTATTTATTCTGTTTTTCTTTTGATATTAAAATAGATGTAAAGATGGTGCAAAAAAATATAATTCAAGTCTTATACATGGTAATCATGGATATGATAATCAACATGATTCAATGAAATCAATATTTTATGCAAGTGGACCACAATTAAAACGAAATTTTACATTAGATAATTCATCTTTATTGTATAATGTTGATCTATTTGGTTTGATGTGTCTTATATTGAATATAGAGAAATGTCCGCCATCAAATGGATCATTAGAAAATATTCAATCATTTTTTATTGATTCAAATAGAATAAATGATTTGAATCGAAGAACACAAAACAAAACCATCATTTATTCAATAGGTAAGTCAAAGCGAAATCAATGGATTATTTAAACTAGATGAATTATGTACAAATGAGATAAAATCGAATTTTTGAAATCAGGTGTTTGTTTCTCAATCAAATGCACTACTGACTAATAATCAATATGAAAGTGTGAAAAAATTTGTTTTAAGATTTCTCAAGCTTATTATTTTTCTTCTTCGGATTAGACGCAATCATTTATTTAAATCTTTTTTTTTAGTAGTAATTGCTTTTGGCTTGATTCTAATCGTGGCTATTATATGGTTGATAAATTCATTTCGAAATAGATCAGCTACGAAAAAGAACTTACGTTCTAATGCAACAAAAAATACTAGACATAGTGAATATGAATATAGTCCAATTAATAATCTCACATTAACTTCGGAAGTTGAAGATCAACAAGTTTAAATTTCGAACTTTTTGTATTTTGTCTCTTCGCAATATCATTTTTGTATTTTGTATCCTTAGAACATTTTTTTTTTAGTTTATTATTTATATCGACCCAATAATGAAAGTAGTTCAATGACGAATATCGATATGACCAACTTTTTGTCTAAAAGATACTTGAAAAGGCTTGAGATGCTCTAAATCAACATAAAATTCTGTATAAAATGACGTACTTTTCCGATCGAAAAACGACTTTCACTTTTCATCTGTCTTTGTTTTACTCGTCAAGTGATTTAGCAGCGTTATTCTGTAGTCTAGAATACACAAGATATCAGGATAATCTAAAAAAAAACAGTTCAAAATCCAGTTTCGGATAGCTTTAAGGTCGAGTTCACATAACCGAAGCACAAAAACAGGCTTTAGAGACTTTGTGACCTAATTTTATAGGTTAATGGAATCTTAAAGCAATAATTGGTAATTATGGACCAATGCAGTTTTACAAGCTCTATCAGATTATCAAATCAAAACAACACAAAAAGCTGTAGATTCGATCTTCAGAAATCTTCAAAAAATCGAACTCAGTCCTTTTATCTTATGAAGAATTTCACTATGTCTCAAAACACATTTCTACAGGTTTTCAACTAACTTCACGAAAGACTCACTTCTTTATCTCTTGCTATATTTAACATAAAATCATAAAAACTTATAGAAATGGACTTTCGGAGATCAGAGAGTTTATTCGGTTTTCTAGCCCTTCAAAGATCGAATCTCCAGCTTTTTATGTTGCTTTAATTTCATAATCTGATAGAGCTTGAAAAACTGCATTGATCTATATATACCACTCGTTGGTTTAAGATCTCGTTAACCTATAACATAAGTTCAAAAGTTCATAAAGCTTATCTTTTGCTGCAGTTTTGAGATTGAAATCTCAAAACTACCTGTAACTGGACTTTGAAACGCGTTTTTTTTAAGATTACTCCGATTGAAAATGCAGTTTGTCACACGTCTTGTATATTTTAGGTCACATAGTGATGTTGCTGGATAACCTTATGTCGAGAAATGAATATGATGCTCTATTCGCATATAACTATAAAATAGTCTTTAATGGATCAATTTTTTATTTTCTTAGTATTTTTAACGTGTTTTTCGGAATTAGCATCAAATTTCGCATATGATAGTGTGTATTGCGATAGAAAAACAAAAAGAAAAAATTTCAATGGTCTTGGAGTAACTTACAGACGCAAAAAGACATGTGACAAATGAAATTTGTTTTACACATAAATTTATGTTGATTCAGAATACGTAATTACCTCGCAAAAATATTTTGGAGGAAAAAAAAATGATCTTATCGATACTCGTCGTTTTCTTTTTCAATATAATTTAGATAATAAAGAAATCAAAATATGTACATTTACATCAACATTTATTCATTGATACTCATATCGTTTTTCAATTCATTTATTTATTGTTCACCGGTGTTAAATGAAATTTCATCAACACCACTTTTACTATTAATATCATTCGATGGATTTCGTTGGGATTATCCAGATTTATATAAATTATCGAATTTTAGTTTATTAATGAAACGTGGTGTTCGTGTTAAATATATTGAAAATAATTTTGCTACTGTTACATTTCCAGTACATTATACAATTGTTACAGGTTTATATGAAGAAGCACATGGTATTGTGGCTAATACGATTTATGATCCAAAATTCAATGCTGTAGCAACATTTGATACAATGAATGACACAAAATGGTGGTATGTACCTGTTTTCATCATAAATATATAAATAAATAATTATGAAAATAGCGATGAAGAAATTGAATATGTATTAGAGCTATGCATTGAGGTTGATTAGTAGTAAATCTGAACAAATTCTCTTTTGCTCAAGATAGTTTGAACGACTATTCGATACTATTGATCCAGGCTTGTAGATGTGTCAGAAAAATTCTTTTGGTTCTGATTTAGAGAAAAACTACTCTACAATTTATTCACATCATATGTAAAAAAATTTTCAAAAATCGTTTTTTGATTTATGTATTCGAAGATTAACAATTTTTTGGAGTCATCTCTCTTGAATCATGTTCCAATTGGTGATTTCTCAGATAGTTAGCTTAAATTCAACTATACTCTTTAATTTCGGTCCTGATCTCGGTCCGAGCTACTGGAGCCGAGACTAAAATTAGTTTCGCACATATTAATTGAGAATTTGTAATCAGCACACATTTATATGGAATCTCGGCTACTGTAGTTGATTGGCCTCCTGACGAGCTTATCAAGCCTACCCGATGCAGAACTCTGATTTGTATAAAAACAGTTCAGTCTATCTTGATCTTTTACAATAGGAAATGTTAATAAAAATCTGTTTAGAAATATAATTCTCGCATTTGTATAAGAAACATAATCGTCAATGTTTAATAGATGAGTCATTTTATGTTATATGTATTTAAATAATTATTTGAAATTTTAAGGTCACAAAATCCATATTCTCAACCAATTTGGGTGAGTAATCAATTAGCAAATGATTCTAATCAACGACGATCTGGCGTCATAGCTTGGCCAGGTAGTGATACTCCAATCAATGGTCATCGTCCATTTAAATATCAATCATTTGATTTAAATCGTAAATTTGATTCAATACTTAAACAAATATTCGATTGGTTTCATGAACCTATTGAAACTCGTATTAATTTTGGTGTTATCTATTATCCTGAACCTGATATAACTGGTAAAATTTAAACTAGAAAATATTCATAATTTTAAATTTTAAAAACGAAATTCTATAGGTCATCATCATGGTCCAATATCAAATGAAATGAATAAAACCTTACAAGAATGTGATAATTATATTGGTCAACTTTTAGCAATAATTGATAGTGATGAATATTTAAAAACAAATTTAAATGTTATTATTACATCTGATCATGGAATGGAAGAGATTAAAAAAGATCATACAATTATACTTGAAGATTATATTGATACATCATTATGTTCAGCATATGGTAGTCGTGCATTTGTTAATATATTTGTTTATTCAGGTAAATTCTTCTTTAATTAATCAATAAGTAAATTGATTTTAATTAAGAATTAAATATTGATCGTATTTATGCAAATTTATCAACTATTCAGAATTATGAAGTTTATAAAAAATCTCAAATACCTGAGGAATATCATTATAAATCAAATATACGTATTGGTGGTAAGTTACTAGCATATTTACAATTAATTTGACACAATACGATCTAAAAGAAATGATAAAATACAGGAATAAAAATTTGCAATCCTCAAAGACTGATAAACAATAGTCAGTAGGAAGCTACAGATCGATGTTTTTTGTTGATCCGAACCCAAGTTTTTTTTCTCGAAATATCTGGCACCCTCTATATAAAGTGATTCGATTTTTAAACTTTGGGCAATATTTTCTTTGATAGGGAATATTGTTTTCAGCAAAATGAGACGTTTTTCTATCCCTCCATGACCTTCTTTCATTGAAATACATTCAAAAATTTTCAATAATAAGAAAACAAACATGTTTCGTGAGCCTTTTGTAAATTAAGTGCAGTTTGATGAAGGAAGATCATGGAGAGATTGAAGACATCTCATTTCGTTTAGAATTATTTGTTATATCGAATTAAGTCTTTTCCCAAAAGCTTTTAATAGAAGGCAGAAAACTAGTTTTGGAGGTTTCAATTTTCCGCAGATCCTAATCCAAGTAGTTTTTCTGGAGTCTTCAGGTCTAGAATATGTTTCATGCAATCAATGTCAGAAGCTTGGGTTAACGTTTTTGTGGACCCAAACCACAACTACATCGTATTACACATTTTAATTCGGTCGAGACTGTGCTAAGAGTTTTTTGGTATTTATTTATTATATTTCGTTAAGATATTTTATTCATTGGTAAACCTGGTTATGAAATAATTGTGCCAGGAGATAATCCATCAATTGAATTACTCGGTGATCATGGTTACGGTAATCGTGTTAAATCGATGTATCCAATATTTTATGGATTTGGACCTGTATTTCAACAAAATATGCAAGCCGAGCCATTTCATACTGTAGATATTTATCCATTAATGTCTTATATACTTAAGCTGGAAACAAGAATAACAAATGGTTCATTAGATAATGCAAAACATATTCTTCGAGATCATTTGAAAGGGAAATTTTTGAATGAAATAAATTTATTTGTTTTAACAACTACAACGAATATTTCAAGTTGGGGATATACAAGTAAATTAATTTGAGAAAATTGTTGTAAGATATGTTTAATTGTTTTAATTTTTTTTTCAGCTGTTCTATGTCTCATTTTGGTAATTTTAATTGGTATTATTTATACAATAGCTGCTTGTCGTCATTCTCAACAATTGATTTATGTTGAATCGCAATATGTTCCTGTTCGTTATCGTTTATTAAGTAATAATGAAGGTTCAAAGAGTAATTTGTTTGCTGACGAAAGTGGAAATGAAGAAGAAACTCAATAAAGACACATTATTTATTGTGATATATTTTTATTTTGTTTTTGCTTTTTTTAAAATTCTATATTCGATAGTGGTGGCTGTTATATGCATAGAAAGATAAAATAATAATACTAATAATAATTCGTTTTTTATTTTATTTATTATAATTAAATAATTTTATCATTTGTTTGTAAGAATATTAAGGTAATCAGAAGATATTGTAAGGCATAATTGAATAAAAATTTGAGAATAAAAGCAAGGTTAGGTTTTTATTTGTTGCAAGATTTCTTATTATGAAGATACGTACTATTCAGAGATAGTGAAACGTTTTGAATCTAGGACAGACTCAACCATGTGTATAAGATTGTCACTCGAAAGTAAAGAATAGGGAGGAGAGGGTACACTTATTTTATGGCATCCAGATGAAACACAGTTTAGTGCTTCTTAATTTGAAATGTGTTAAAAAAATCGCGCATCTAAAGAGTCACGCGAACATTCGTCTATATTTAATATCGACTGTCGAAAGAAGACTTTTTTTTATCTTCTTTGCTGTAAAATAGAATAATGGTGAGGTTACAATAGTGTTCTAAAAAAAAGCCAGAAATTACATTGTGAGTTTGTTCACTTTGTTGAAGATATTTCTAAGGCATGTAAACTTGGCCATTAATAAGGGAAGTTCTTCAACTGACAAATCACTTTTGAGTCGGTACTATATGCATTAGGTAGACACAAATAGTTATGAATACCTTGAAAAGAGTTTGTACCATTAGTTTATTGTTGCGGAAATACTGCACTTTTATGGTATTTTTTAAATGCCAGAATAACTCATAGCTTATTTGAACCTGCATAATACACATAGACTCAACTCCATGGCGATCTATCAATTAGAGGATTTTCTTCGTAAAGTCGGAGTAGCAATTTTTGGTTTATCTAATTATAGCTTCCTCTACAGTTCTTCTGCATTTTTAACGAAGAAGTACTACTTGCATTTATTAGCAATTTAGGGCCTAACGTTTACTAATACCAAATTTAATGTTTCGCCAAGGATGTTTTCTAAATGTCTCCCTACGAAAATGTTACTATTTGCTGCTGAAACCAGTGACAAATGTTGATGTACTGAATAAATCTATAAATCTCATTGAACAAGAAACAAGTATTCAAATGTTTGAGTCTATCCTAGCCTATCCAAGCCTCATGGCCCCACTGACTATGTTGTTATTTTATCTTACGTCGAGAATTCGATCAATTTTCCAAATTATGCGAATATATGCATTATGACGATGATTGCTATCTAGAAGAGATTCTGTTGTGCTCATGCTTTTTCAATGATAACCATAAATCAGAAGTGATTATTTCGAAATATGAGGACATTTTAAGGTACTATTCAATGTTCTAAAATGTAGCTGTTTTGTTATGTATATGCATCTAACATTCTGTAAATTATTCGAACGTTTATCTACGTCTTTTATAGTTATTATACTATTACTGTCTATAAGAAAAGGTTTATTGGTTAGGTAAAATCAATATATTATTCAAACATGCTTTCAGGTATTCGTTTAGACGATAATTCGACTTTTCTACAGGAGAATCAAGGCTATGATCTCAAGATATTTCGATAAAACTGAAATTCAAAAATTTTTTAATGAAATATTATATTAAATTAGATACATAAATCTTCATAAAACTATTTATTAAAGTCCGCAAAAAATATTTAATAAACATTCTTTCATTTGTTTAGATTAATATGTTTTAGATCAAAATTTAAAATGTTTGAAGAAGTTAACGAAAAAACGTCATCAAACAATGACAAAAAGTCTAAAGACAATAATGAACCTCCATCTTCTCATTCAAAATATGTTACACATCGAGCAACATTTGGTCAAATACGTGTTGATCAACCATCTAAATCTAAACAACGTCAAATGATTGAATCATTATGTAAAACTTATGATCCGAAAAGTGAACAAAATCAAACATTTGAAGCTCAATTATGGTCATTAGTTGATGAGGACATTAATACTGATGAACATGATATTGATTTCTATGGTGTAATTAATGCTCATTATAGAAATTTTAGTTTTGAAAATAAACTTTCATCACCAAAAGAAGAAATCACAGATAATTATATTGATCAATTAGCTTTTCCTGAATTAACAACAAAAAAATCTGAAATTAAATCAACAAATCTTCAAAAAGAAACAATAAAAGATTTGAAAAATGAAAAAATGAATTTTATTGATGAACAATATTTTGGTACATTAAAACAAATTGAATATCAAGATGAACAAATTAATAAAATTCTACCAACAAAACGAATTGAAATGTCACCTACAGATGAACTTAATTATATTGATCAACTTATTTTTAGTTCACCAACTTCAACAAAAGAAATTAAACAAACTCAAACTTCAATTCCTGATAAACAAATAAATTCAACTACCATTGAAAAATCAACGGATATTTCATCAGATAAACTTCTTGATATTAATTTTCAATTTCGTATTTCTACTCCAACTTCAAAACCTTCTAAAAAATCATTACCTAATCTAAATGAATCACCAATGGATTTATATAATCCAAAACTTGAATCAATGCGTAGTATTAAATCAAAAGATTATTTCGATCCACCACGTCAATCATCTCTTGACATACAAAAAGAAAAAGATATTGAATCAGATAAAAATGCTACACAATCAGCTGACCATATTCGTGAACAATTAATAAAGAAAATTAATGTTCGTGATAGTTTAGGTTATCGAACATTTGAAAATCTTATACCGAAATGGTGGACAATGACTAAAGCAGAAATTGTTGATATATTAATCAAACAGATATGTTTCATACGACGTAAGAATTAATTTTCTTTAAGAAAAAAAAATTATTTTATTTCATTGATTTAGATGGTATTCTTGCACTAGATAAACCATATGGACTTCCAACAATAGATAAGTAAATAAAATTTAGAATTTTCTTTAATTTTCGAGTTACTTTTTTTCAGGTGGACCAGGAGTTCAAATGTCTATTGGTAAGGAAGATTTCGAAAATGTAGAATTAAAGTAGACTTTTCTTCTGTTACTTTATATATGGTCAGATGTTGTGTGATAAGTTGATTAGTAACATGTGCGTTTTCAAAATTATTTGTTTTCAGATTTAGCTTGAAATATTTGAATATAAAAAACTCATTTATAAATGAGTTTTCTATATTCAGTTGTTCAAGCTAAATCTGAAACAAACAGTTTTGAATATTCAAAGAAAGGGAAAATTTGAAAACGTACATATCTTTGATCAACTTATCACATTCTATATCTAACCATACATAAAGTAACGAAATAGAATTCTATTTTAATTTTGCATTTTCAGTACTTTAAATACGATATTGATTCATTTTTTCTTAATTGAAATATACGTATTTATAGCTCATTTTATACCACAAATAATCGAACGTTTAAATAGACCTGAGATAAAACAACTTCATTTATTACATCGACTTGATAAACAATCAACTGGCGTTTTACTTATGGCTTAGTAAAAGAAATGTTATTATCTATAAAAATTCTTAATATATTTTATTTAGTACACCAGAAGCTGAAAAACGATTACGTGAACTTATGCAACAACGAAAAATTCTTAAACAATATTTAACTATTGTTCGTGGAATACCAAAACCACCTGAAGGTAAAAATTAATTTTTTTCATTCCGTATAATAATTGTTTTTCTCTAATAGGTGAAATTAATATACCAGTTGTTGAAAGAAATATTCGTGGTACATATAAAATGATGATTTCACCAGACTATAATGATTTAACAAAGTTAGTTATGCCTAAAGCTAAACGTGATCATATTAATAGTTCAACAGCAATAACAAAATATCGTGTAATTGATTCGAATTATGGAGTTTCATTAGTAGAATGTCAACCAGTTACAGGTAAATTTCATCAAATATTTTTTTTCAATGACAAACATAAATTTTTTTTTAATGCCAATATTCAAAATGATAATTTTTTTGATATACATTGATGCTCGCATCGCATTGAAAATCATTTATGAGGGACGTGTAACAAATGATAAATTGCTTTTGAGTCGAGACTAGAGATATAACAGGATCAAGTTTTTTTGAGTTTCAGTCCCGATGATGTTAAGTTATTTGATTCCGGTAGCGATCATCTCGTACATCTCTAGTCAAAACTGTATGTATTAAGTTGACCCAAATGAGTTATCAATATTTTAAGAATAGTTTATGCCAATGGCGCTTATTGTTATGAAGATACTCCACTTTTACAGTATTTTTTAAAATCAATGCCATGGTAATAGAAAAACTAATTCAATGGTTCCGGTTCTAGTTTTTGTTGTTTTTAAACTACCCAACTCTAGTATTCATGACTCATTGAGGTCAATACAATGTACATTATCTTGACTCAAAAACGATTTATTAGTTAGAGAACTTCTCTTAGTAAGTAAATTCTTCAGACTTGATATCAAGTGATATTTGATTATTTGAATAGTTAATGAATTAAAAATTTCATGAACTTGTTTGAGCCTTTTTTACTATCAAACCATAGAAAGTGAAACTTTTTTAAAGCTTTTTATAGGAAATTAAAATACTATCGGCACTATTTTTCATATGGTTTAAGTATATTTGTTTATGCCAATATAAATCAACAAATTGAGATATACTAGAAAGTCACTCGTACTCAATACGATCAAATACTACAATAATCGTAAATTTCTCTTATATCATTGCATGAAACTATTCTAACATTTCCGAAGAGAGCCTATTGAATTCAATATTTTGTAAAAAATATATCAACGTACAATTTTAATATAAATTGATCTTTTGTTTTTCGAAATTTTCAGGTGTCAAACATCAAATTCGTACACATTTAGCTCATGCACTTGGAACACCTATATTAGGTGATCATAAATATTCTCATTATGCTAAATTAGCACCACAAGTATGGTTAACACTTTTTTTGCTTTCCTTTTAGAATCATTTTTCTTTTTTGGGGGATTATTTAGAAATTACCATTTGCAACATTAAAAAAATTAGGTGTACGTCAAGCAAAAGTTCGTACAATTCCTTTATGTTTACATTCATATTCAATTGCCATACCAAATTTTCTACATCATCAACAGAATATATTTATTCGTGCTCGTTTATCACATCATTTACGTTATTTCATTCAATGTCTTCGACTACGAATGATTAAATAAATATTTCTCGTTTGTCTTCTTTTCTTTATTTTAATAAAAGAGAAAAAAAAAAAAAAAAAAGGTCATGCGCACAAATTAGACAATATTCATAACTGGTGCAACATCTAAATAAAAAAATATAAAGAATAAAGATTTTTCTCTATATTATTTAAAACTTACGTTCAAATTTAATCTTTTCAACTATATTTCGAGATTTTATATTTTCTTCATGATTAGCAATCCAGATATAATTGGGATCATCAGCAAGTACTTTCCATCCACGAGCTTTAATTAATGCTTCAAAATCATTGTCTAAGAAAAAGTAATATCATGAGTTGATTATAATAAGAACAAAAAAAAAAAAAAAAAGGCAAATTATTACTAAAGAGACGACCTAATGCTGAATGTAATTCTTGACGATTTATTGTTTGATATGTTCGATTTATTGTTTGACAAATAACTGAAATTAAGAAAAGTCATATGAGATAAAATACAAATTTAATTTTACGAACATTCTCGAATACGATCTTCAAAACCTGGAATTTTCACCGACGTACGATCCAATGTTTCCTAAAAAAACAACAAGTTTAAATAAATTTATTGTTCAATCAATCTTAATGAATATTTCGAATGATTATTAGTCAAATACGAACTTACCAAATTGTTGCAGAGAAATTCAAGCAACATATTGCGTCTTGACAAAATGCGATGCTCTTATCTAATTTAAAGAATTTTCATTCTCACGATATTCTATACTAAGTTTTATTAGACAATCTCAGCCCATATCGTAGTCAGAATAAATTTGATTCAAGTCGCGATGAAACAGAGATTGAAATTGTCTTGTCTATATCGAATCATGTGAGTTAAAACACATAAGTTTAATTCATTGAAGGTTAGTATTCGGTTGCTATGATTATTTTCTATGTTCCAGTGTTCTCAGGACTGATCAAGAGAAAACTATTGCAGAATTTATTCGACAATTGTAACAGTTGGTGTCATCTCTTCTAAACCATACTTTGATGGGTACGATTTAAAAATTTTCTCGCACATTCCTAGTCATATTATATTAATGGAAAAATAATCGAGTACATATTCGACATGTTTCATTGTATTTCGTACTCCAGCAAAAATTCATTATCGGTATAATACATGTAGTATGATCGCTAGAAAATCATACTTTTGTCAAATAGGATTCAAGCTATCAGAAAATGCGCACTCTTAACCAATTAATAACGTCGAACTGAATTTTAGACACTAAGAAAATCACATGAAACTTACCCAAAAATCTTGAAATCGACATGATTCAAGTAATTCAGCAAATTGTAACGCTTCAACTACACGTGTATTTTCTTGACTCTGATAAGAAAAAAAGATAAATTTAATGAAAACAAAAAGAAAATATTTTTTTTTTTCAAAATACTTTTTGTGTATCAAGCAAATATTTGCAAAGTAAAAAGTCTGATTTTGGCAAATTTGTTAATGCCAAAAGAAGAATATCTGCAACTTTATCAGCTTGAAAATAACTTGGATCAAATTGATACATTTTTAATAAAGCCATATTAGCATCAAAATCATAAAAACGATTATCAATTTGATATTGAACATATTCTTCAAGCATTGGACGACAATTTGGATTATATCTAATTGAATTGAAAAAAAAAAAGAAGATCATTCGAAAGAATTCAGATGAAATTTCTATACCGTTCAATGCCTTTAAGTTTTCGTGCTACTTCTTCCGCACGTGTATTCGTACGAGAATGACTAACAGATGGCATTGTTCTTTTTTTTTTTCTTTTATAAATAAAATCTGAAATTAAATTAAGAGTGTGTTTATTTTGTACAAGAAATTATTTATATTAAAAAAGATCAAGTTTTTTTGTACGAATTTGTTCACGTTTAGATTGAAGATTATTTTCAATATGTTTTAATTTATTATATTGAATTTTTTTAGTTGTTAAACGTTGTTTGATATTTAAAGCAACTGTTGATGCACCTCTAGAAAAGAAAATATGTTCAGTTTGTTTTTTTTTTTGTTATTTTGATATGAAGATGTTAGGATTCACACCAGGGCTCGAAACGGGCCACTTTTTTATGGTTCGGGCCGGCCCAAAACTAATTCAAGCCCGCCCGGCCCGGCCCATCAAATTATTAGGCCCACCCGGCCCGGCCCATCATATTATTAGGCCCGCCCGGCCCGGCCCAGACCTGGCCCGACGCTAAAGAAAATGCTATTTAAATAAATGCCTTTTTTTTGTAAAAACCGATCTGTAAAGCTAGTCTTATAGTTTGAAAAGGTTTTAATGAATCTACCATTAATTTGATGATAAATATATTAGGATCTGCTGATTCCAATAATAACGAGAANAGATGCAGTTTTTAACGCTGATTACGAATTTGAGAATTATTTTATACAAAAATTAGATTTTAGCATTGAAAACTGGGTTTTAAACTTTTCAAAAATCGTGTTTTGGATTTTCTAACTAAGAAATTTTTCCAAAAAAAGTCGAAAAATATACCATTCGATGCAGAATTTCATTCTCTATAATATGGCATATTTAGTTTCGACTTTTGTGGTTAAGGACAATTTTTAGACTCTTATACAGTTTCCAAGTTACTGCGTCTTTTGTGAGCTTCCATATCGATGTATCGATCTCGTTCTTGCGTAGAACGATTAGTTATACAGAAAAGACTAACACTTATAAAAATCAAATCGTTCTGATCATGGTAAGTGCCTTAGAATTGGTCGACAAAAAACTGTGTCACAGCGTTACGTTTGCTTTTTGCATTTTTTATCTAAGTAAAAATAGCTTGAAGGAAATAATTTTTAGCGTTTAGAAGCCCGTTCAAAGCTCTACAAACCTGGCTCTAGAAGTGCTTAATATGAAGTAACATTTTTACAAAAAATTGCAGTTTTGTTAGCGACTCTGAAGAAAAAGGGTCTTTTTATGTCACAGCGTTACGGGACCAAAAATCCTTTCTCGAAGCTCGAGACTTTTATCGAAAAAAGTCATTTTTATGGCATAAATAGAGTTTGTCAAGCTGTGCCGAATGGCGTTTGAACGAAGTTTTTAGCTCTCATAGTTTCAGAGATAATGCAAAAAACAGTTTGTCAAAAATGTCACAGCGTTACGCTTGGACAAGCCGTATAGCACTTGAAGGATATTATACAGTATGTATAGACATTTTAATCCATAGGATATTCTCAAAATCCGTTTTTATACTCAATTCGATATAATTATAGGTTACCTTCGATTTACTATAATCAATAGTTTTCGTCGTTGCTTTCTTCATACTTGAAAATGGTTTCTTTGCTTAAGTCGAGGTTATTTCTTGATTTTATAATCGTAAAACATTCTCAAAAATTGCACACTAGCAAGTCCTATATGTTTTACATATAGCATCTTTCGGAACAGCAGAAACTCGTTAGCAATTTACAAGTTTCTTCCTTAGGATAGCTAAGTTTTCTGTATGAGGAGGCTAGTATAATGACGATATCTTAGCAATACTTCATTGTCCTGTGAAAAAGTTTCATGTAGCAATAATTAGTACAATATTCCTAGTAAATTGGTTTGGATAACTACTTCATACATGAAAAAAATTGTGACTTTGAGATTCATGGTGAGAGGTACGGATATTAGGTTGCAGGATAGAGGTCTGTTATTTTTATTATTACTTTTAATTATATCGCATTGACTTTAATAACGAAATTTGAGAATATCCTATGTATTACCATGTCTATGAGTACCTTATAGTATTCTTCAAGTATTATAACTATTGTATCGACCCTGAGCGTATGAAAATTTTGAGGAAAACTTAATTTTTTATATACTATTCAATATGCCACAATTTCCTCCACAAAACCACATATAAGGCATCCTGGTTTCGGATAGATCACCGAATCTACCGGAGTCTTTTCAAATAAAATAAATCTTACTTGTGTATGTAAAAGTAAGGATGTTTCATCAACAGTTGTGTTATTATCTTTAAATCGATCTAATGGTGATGGTGTTGAATCTTGATTAGCTAAAGAAATATGATAATTTTGTTTTAAGTTTAATTAAAGATTTGATAAGAAACAAACTTGATCTCATTTCTGATGTAAATATTTTATCAAGAAATGTAAAAATATCTTTTTGTTCAGGTATTTTTTTTTGTTTTTCAATTGTTATTTTTTTTCGATGTTTTTTTATTTTAAATGCATCGGGTAATTTATTCTTTTTTTTCAATTCAAGTACAGCATCTAAAGATTTTCCTATTAAAATAAAAACAAAAACAAAATTATAGATTAATAAAATTTAATTCAATCTTATCAATTACCTTTCGGTAAAACATGAGCTTCAATAGGATTTATTAATCCTTGATTCTGTCGTCCAAGACCTTGACCAGATTTATAACCCATTTTTGCAAGTAATTTAGAACCAATGCCCTGTAATATATTTTAAAAGTGTTAAGTATATAGCTAATCTTTCGTTTTATTGATCTTCTTAGAAAAGCTAATCGACTATGCTGATTTTCTAGAAAATCGATATAGGAAAATTTAAGACGATTTCTTGTGATTATATTCGCACATTAGCATAATCCATAATTTAGAAGTTTTTAGTGAATTTTATAATATAAAAACATTATTGCTTACTTTCGTATGTTTTTCCCAAACTCCTAAATTTCCTAATCTTGGTTGATCAGTAGATGAACTTGGAATATCTGCAATTGAATTGAGAATATCATTAGTGAGATTTTCATCTTCATTATTTGTTTGAATTTCATCTGAAGTAATTTAAGAAAAAATAAATATTTTCTTGTTTTAAAATTTTATATTCAATTAAATTATTTTTACTTGTTGTAATTATTGATTCAAATGGTATAGCCTCTAATGCATTAAAATGAGTAAAACGTACTACACAAAGATGATTATCATTTTCAACACTTTCAATAACACCTGGTTTCCATAGACCATCACTACCTTGTTTACATACAACATTTTGACCAACAACAAGAGTTCTACGAAAAATAATCTTTATCAATATTAATATACAGAAACAAAAAAATGTCTTTACTCATAATTTGCTTCAATATATTCAAGAAGATCTTCAACAGAAATAACAAAGCCATGAGAATATCTGAACGAAAAAAAGCAAAAAGAGTTCAAATTAAAAGAAGTTTTTTCGGGTTTCTTACTTGCAAGTGTCACCAAAACGACAAGTATCATTGAGAAAATGTGAACATGGTTTAAAATCAAGACGTGTTGGCTGACAAAATAAAACTCGAACCTAATAGTAGGAAATATATAGATTAGGAAAAAAATGAATATTTTAATACATACTGTATTATCTGCTATAGATTCAATACCAAGTACAACGGCATTATGTCGTTGTAAACCACTGATAGGACAATTGATTTTTACACTACAATTTGTACCTTGGAAAATAAATAATCAAGGAAATTGATTATGAACGAAAATAAAAATATTTACGAACCAACAATTTCTTTTACAATAGAATTTTCTGCTTCATCTTCTTCGTCGTCATCATCTTCCTCTTCTTCATCATCATCATCACTACTATCAGAATCGGATGAAAGCGTGACACAAGGTGTTGATTCAGAATCATCAATTGTAATTATTGATTCATCTATAGATGGAGATATATAAATGATGAAATTTAGAAGAATATGCATACCATTATTACTATTGGATGTATTAAACAGAGAAAGAGCTTCACGAAGATCTGAACGTAATTGTCTTAATTCAGCACTTGCAACTCCGTCTTTTTCTTCTTGTTCAAGAATAGCATTTTCAACATATTTTAACTTTAAATTTCGAAAAACAAAAATTTTTTAAACTTTATTATATTTATGTTTCTCTTACTTGTGCTTGATAGGCAAGAATATATTCATTGTCATTCTGAGAAGCAGTCATAATAAACACGTCTAACGAAAAAAAAATACAATAAAATAAAACCACTGATAAAATCCAAATGATCTAATTTTATGTTAGTTAATAGCTTACAAAATTTCGAATAAATCCATATTAAATTATTCTTTGGAAAACTTCAAATATTGGTTTACATAAACAAATTGGAAGGTTTGGAATAGATGTCGCCTGATTCGACAGTTTCACCTTTCATCAATGAATTCTAATGCCATGAAATCCATACCAAATATAATTATTTCTTTATAAAAAAAGTTAGAAAACTATTTTAGTTCATAAAATCATATCTTAGACGTCCATGTCGTCAATTTTTCAAGAAAACCAACCGACGTTGAACTGTGGCTCATAAAAAAATGATGGTTCGAATGGTCTATTCTTTTGTATATTTTTTCTATGAAGTTAATACTTTTTGTTGCGAGAAATCGACTGTTACTCAAAAACGTCTGTTGTAATATACCATACTAGATCTTGTCAGATGGCGCCACACTTTTCCTATTAGTTAAGTCTTGCAACTGATGACTACTTTTGTGACGTCATCTTTAATGAATGATAAAATTCGAAAAATATAAGCGAAAACAGTCGATCAATGTGGCTGGTACAGACAATTTGAGCGCGCTCACAATAGTTCTGTACGTGGTTTTCAATGACATCGAAACTTCTTCAGATTATACACGTTCGTTCACCTTTATATCATGCTGTGTCGACCAATCTGTATATAGAATGTGCATAATCTGAAAAAGAAGTGGAATTCAAGGTATCAATCCACAGTTTACCTCTCTCTCGCCATGTTTTAAAATTTTTGCATTCGTGATTTCAGACATCAACGCATTGAGTGCACAAGAAAATAAGTTTCTTTTATGAAGTTTTTCGTATACTCGATGGTCTCATGATTACTCTCTTAAGAAATAAAAAAAAGTTTATTGTCGTGTAGTATGTATTTCGCTATTTACTGTTCACCACTCACCAAAAAAAGAATTGATGTACATAAGAATGAAAGTCTTTTTTTTTTCTTTCAATAGAATTCATTTAATCATCATGTCATTTGCTGAATAGGAGTGATACCAATTACAAACAAAAACAAACCATTATATATTTATTCTTAACATGAGCGCAGAAGAGTCTAAGCAAACGTTGATGATTTCCAAAGTTTCGTGTCAAAGTACAGAGCCATCATCTTCATCATGCATTTCTTCTACATTAGCAGAATCAACCAACAGGCGTTTTAGACGACGAATCTTCGAAAACTTTCTCCTGATATGGCTGTATCCCGATCTTGATGAATCGAGCAATGATTATCGAGATGCCATGGCACAACTCCGATGCATCATGAACACTATCGAAACATTTTTGGATCTTGACGAATGCCTTGATTTTCTTACTGAAATCAATGATGACAAGGTATTCATGATTATATCAGCTACACATATTCAACAAATATTACCTCTAATTCATGATACACCGCAGCTAGAGGCTATCTACGTTTTTTGTCACAACAACAAATGCAAATATGAACAGTTAATTCAAGGATGGCCTAAAGTTAAAGGTATACACATAGAAATTACATCTCTATGTGAAGCACTACAAAAAGATCTCAAACAATTTGATCAAGATTCTATATCGATCAGTTTCGTTCCACTCGTTGGTAATGAATTGAATCAAAATTTAGACCAATTAGAACCATCATTCATGTACACTCAAATTCTAAAAGAAATTTTATTAGAAATGAAGTATGATGAGAAATCGATCACAGAATTAATCTTGTACTGGCGTAGTCAGTATTCTGACAATTCTCGTCAATTGAATATTATTGATGAATTTGAACGTGACTATAATCCACAATCATCAATCTGGTGGTATACTCGTACATACTTGACATATTATGTGCTTAACAGAGCACTACGTAAACTGGAGGCCGAGACTATCATTAAGATGTCTTTTTTTATTCGTGATCTACATCAGCAAATACAACAATTGTATTTAGAACAGTTTGGTAAGCCTCATGTAGAACCATTCACTGTCTACCGTGGACAAGGTATATCAATATTAGATTTTAAGAAATTAGTGAAAACAAAAGGTGGGCTCATATCGTTTAACAATTTCTTATCAACTAGTAAAGAAAAAGAAGTTTCCCTACTATTTGCCGAAGGTGGTCTGACAAAATCTGGTAGCGTTGGTATTTTCTTCAAAATGACAATTGATCCGTCTATTTCTTCGACTCCTTTTGCTTTCATTGATAATCTCAGTTATTTTAAGATAGAACAAGAAATTCTCTTCTCAATGCACACCGTTTTTCGCATTGGTGAAATCAAGAAGCTTGACAATAATAAAGAACTCTATGAAGTGGAACTCAAACTGACAAGTGATATCGATGAGCAGTTTCGCACTGTCACCGAATGTATTCGACAAGAAACGAAAGGATCCAATGGATGGGAGCGTCTGGGTGATTTCTTGATCAAATTAAGTCGATTTGACATGGCTGAACAACTACATAGTACATTGCTCGATCAGGCATCTGATAACAGCAAGAAAGGCAAGATATATAATCAGTTCGGACGCATAAAACGTGGTCAAGGTGATTTCAAAGAAGCATTGTCATATTATAAGAAAGCACTCGAAAGTTTCGAAAGAAATGTCCCTTTAAATGATCTCGATTTGGCTGCCACGTACAACAACATTGGTTCGATGCATATGACCATGGTAGAGTGTTCCACAGCGCTTTCATTTCACGAGAAAGCAATTGAAATCTTTGAAAAAACTCTCCCGTCAAATTATCCTGATTTAAGCAATTGTTATCACAACATTGGTAGAGTATATGATCACATGGGAGAGTACTCGAAAGCACTTTCGTTTTTTGAAAAGGCACTTCAAATTCAACAAAAGACTCTTCCACCAATTCATCCTTTATTGGCTTCTTCCTACAATAATCTCGGTACGATGAATGAACACATGGGTGAGTACTCAAAGGCATTATTGTTTTACGAAAAGGCAACTAATATTCAACAAAAAACTCTTCCCCCAAATCATCCGGATTTAGCTTCTTCTTATAACAATATCGGTAGAATGTACACAAATATGGGAGATTATTCCAAAGCATATATATTTCATGAAAAAGCGTCTGAAATATGCGCAAGAAATCTTCCTCCAAATCATCCTTCTCTGGCTACTTCCTACCATAACATCGCTTCAGTGTATAAAAGCATGGGAGCCTATTCGAAAGCACTCTCATTTTACGAGAAAGCACTTAAAATTCAACACATCGCTCTTCCGCCAAATCATCCCTCATTGGCTATTGCGTTTAATAACATGGGCACGGTGTATGAGAATATGGGAGACTATGTCAAAGCAATTTCATGTTGTGAACGGGCTGTCGACATTATGAAAAAATCATTGCCTCCAAATCATCATCATCTTCGATCGTGTATGCAGAATCTTGAAAATCTTAAAAATAAATCAAAAGTAGTACGTATTGAATAAAAAAATAACGTTTGTATTCAGTTCGAATATTCATTCGAAGCAGTTTTCACATGTACCTGTAATAATTTTCTGTATAAGAGCAATGAAAAGAATCAATCAGTATCTCAATACAGGCACGTCCAATAAATAAATCAGACATCTTCGGTAATATGTTTGCAACTCTGACAAAGCGTTTATTCGTGTCACCGGTGAGTAAACACTTCGTTATACGAATAAACAAGAGAAACAGAGAGATAATGTGTGAATAACGACGAGAACAACTTGAAATAATTTTAAATTATCTCATTTGTCATCTACTATAATAGCGTAATGCGGACTCAGAGAAAAAAAGTGATTCAACAAAATATCATGTGTTACTTGTTTTTTGTTGTCATGGAAATTTATGTGCTGTTCAAATTATTATAAACACTTCTCAATTTTTTTTTGTTGGATTTGATCGCTCCATCTTTGAAAGACCTAATAAAATTACGACAAGATATTTTTTTGACGGATTCTGTTTTCTATATTTCATAGGAAAGTTTTATATCAGATCTTACGAAATTTTGAACAGACAAAAAGAAAACACACACACACATACTAATACTTGACACAATAAACGAACAAAACAAACCATGAAAACACTTGTTTGATTTTTGTCTTAGCTCAAAACACAAACACACGGATGAAATATCCAAAATGTCATATATACTCAATGTTCATAGCATAACAACAGTAACAGAAATAGTTTGAGAAAAAAAAATCAACGATAACAAAAGCAAACAAAACAATAACAACAAAAAGAAAACTCCAATATTTGTACATAATCACTTTTTTTCCAAGTCTTCTGAAAACTGTACTTTCACAAGAAAAACGAAAAGAAAACACGTTATATTAAAAAGAACTGTAAAATTCTCATACTAGCGACTATCATCGGTACAGAGAAGTCGCAAAAGAAACATTCATAAAATTTCTTATACTTACGGAGTTCGCGAATTACGCATTAATGGTTTATGAATTAAAGCTGGTGATTCACATTCGATATTATTATTGTTGGTATTTGTTTGTGTTATCGTATGATTAGGATTCAAATCCCAACATATTGCACAATAATATTTCATACATTTAAGTGAACGACAAAAAAATTGTCCCATATTTGGACACAATTGTCCATTAGCACCTGCACAAGGTACACTATCTGATAAATATGGGTCGATTTGTATCTAATGTAAATAATAAGAAAAATAAATAGAAATAGATCTGATAATAGAACATACCACTTTACAAAATTTATCACATTCAATCATTAAATAATTAGCGGTAACAGCCGCATAGTAACTATGTGTATTCACAAATACAACACGTCCAGAACCTAATTTAAGATCATAAATATGTTATTCAAAACATTGAATAAAATTCGAGTAGTTCGTACACAATTTAAGGGCGTCTCAGTCCTTTTTTCTGGAGAACGACTCACAGAAAAAAAAAATTTGAAATTTTCAGGACAGAGATCTTGTCTTCTATAAGATACTGGGTTTACAATAGCAAAAAATACTGCCAATCTTCTCTAAGATACTATGTTCGATTGATATCTTTTTATTTTTTTCCTCTTCGAATAAAAAAATCAAAATATCGAAACTATTCTTAAAAACGCATGTTTTATTTTTGTAAGGACTATTAGAAATCAGTAGAAAAATATTTTTTGAAACAAAAAAAAAATACTCGTCCCAAACATTGTATAGTATATGTACAAAAAGGGGTTCAGCTTGATAGGATATACTACGTCGGAAGAACAGGAACGTTTTTGCATTTTGTTTTTCATTAAAAAAGTTGATTTGAAAGAAACGCGAAATAATGGACAATTTTCGCTATTTCCGTTACGTAAATTTGATAACATACAGTACCTAGAATAAGGGAGCAGGTGTTGAAGAAGAAAGATTTAAAGAAGATTTTCGCAAGTTTTTGGACAAATCTCGGTTGTTCATAAGACCACATCAGGTTCGCTTACGATCTCCATCTAACTTTATTTGATTGGACTGAAAATGTTTTTGAAGATAGCTTAGACTATATCTCATAGATGATTTTAAGCTCTTTCAGAAATTAGACGTTCTTTTTTTATAAGAGAAATACGTCAATGTTTGGGTTCAAAACCGGGATACTCGCATTCAGGGTTCTATAAATTCGGATATGGGGACTAAACAACCAAAACGACTGATTTCATCTTTGGACTATACTTCCAGATATCTATGATCAAAACTCTAGTTTGATCAGACAATGCTAGACTCATTTCTCTCCTTAGTTTAGGTGCTCTACCTGTGGTAAAAATTTCATGCAAATCTATTTACCCTATTTGAGAACCAGAACTGGCATAAAAACAGGACGGCACTCTCGGGTAGCAAAACTTGAACAAGGAGAATAATAAAAGATCTTTATACAGTGTTTTCCAAAAGTCCTTCAGACATAAAAGGTTGTGAACAATTCAAGTCATACATACGAACTCGCTCTTCAAAATGCTCACACTTAAATAATGCTCGCAAGTTTTGTTAATTCAAGTTGGTCTTGCAGACGTAATCATCCGACAGATACTAACTCCAATAGTTGATGTGAACTTCATCGAAAAGCGCCACCTCTTTGAATTCGGATGTTGTAATTTATGGTTGAGAAGTGAAGATATTTCATTTTGTTGAATCATTTACTAGGTTCTGTCATAATTCTGTATGCTATTGAAAAAATATTTTTTGAGAAACCAGAACAGCTTCTGCTAATACATTTTCATTAGTAACATGAACTACATTGACTTCTCTCATTTCTATAGAACGTTCAAAGCATGGCACGTTTGCACAAGTATCAGTTTCATAAAAGCGTTTAGAAATTTCTTCAATACTATATTCATTAACCATTTCAGTGTCAAATTTGACTGACATGATTGGTTTTCTAGACTATGTTGAAAAAAACTAAAAGGTACATCAAACAAAGTTATAGATTATTTATGCTAATCGCTTGAAATCTTCGAGAGATATTCTTGTTTCTTTTTTTTTTCTATTCCGACAGACTTTTGAAACACACTGTAGAAAATGAACATGTATAACCGAGTACGATAGTATGCAATGAAAAGACATATATTTACCAATAGGGTATTTATTTCTATCAGTATCAATAGCTGAATATTCCACATCTCCGAATAATTCTTGACATATTCGAGCCAATGCATAAGCAGTCATCATTCCATGTAAAGCCCCGACAAAAACTGTTCGATTAATACATTCAGTAGATCCAAGTCGTTGTTCCCAATTTGTATAACTATCACCTTCAGCTAACCATTGTGAATCTTCCTAAATAATAAAAAAAAATATTCTTTAAACTTAATTCTTATATGAAACACTTACTACAAACCATGGAATAATTTGAATCTAGAAAAAGTAAATCTTATTTTATATTTTCTAAGAAAATATTTTCTTACACTTTTTCTTCTTGAAGTTGTTCGGTGACTATAAACATCAAGATAATATTCACATCGACCATCATCTAATGATCGATCAATTTTTGTTGAACATATATGTAAAATTTGATGAACAGATTCTTCATTTTCATAAATAGCATAAGCAAAACCAGTCGTAACTAATTGTTTTTTTTTTTTGCAAACAAAATATTAATTGAAAAAATTATTCAAAATAAAAATTTCTCATACTATTTGATGAATGTCTATGAATGGGCATATTATCCATATTGGGCCATTCTAGTCGAACTGATCCAAAACTTTCTAAACGTTCTTGTAAAACTCCTATATAAATTTTAATACAAAGAAAAATCTTTTACATAAAAAAAAAAACACACTTACTAGGACTAAGATCATGTGGAATACCACCAAGAAATATCTTGCAAGATAATGATGGTGGTCTCATAGAAAATATTCGTGGTCGAAAAGGTAATGGTGATGTCCATATCAAACCTGGTTGAACTTTTCCAAAATGCCCTTTAATAAAAAAAAAAAGAAACAAAATTCTCTGATGAGCGAACTATTCAAAGTGAAACTTGCCGTTTGAGCTCACAATGATTCGTTTCTGTGGGCTTCTTGAATCAAAATATGACCAATTTAGTGAATTTTCTATCCAAAGATAGGTCTACTAACCCTTAGAATAGTGTAAAAGTTTTAGCCGAAAAGAACGTACCTCTGTCGAGATATTGAATTTCAAAGTAACTTTCGATTTTTTTTCAGACTATAATAAGAATCATTAGATCTATCTATGGGTAGAAAATTCAGTAAATTGATCATATTTCGGCTTCAGAGATTCATGAGCATGAGCCCTTTTAAAATTTTTCTACTCTTACTGAGACTTCCTTGTATGTTCAATATGAACTCAAATAGCGGATTTCAAGTTCGGGTAGTTCTCTTTCGATTAGTAATGAGCGAAACCAGTCATTGTTAGACCCAATTTCGCGTCAACATGTACTAGTGGAAAATGCGATATGGTTTTCTAGCATTGCCAAAGCGCTAGAGGCATCTTGCATGACTCGTAATATTCTTCCTCTTGGAGATTCATTACTATTTTTAATTGACTAATACTTCGTCTATTCTGCATGTTTATCCGTTTGACAACTCTGTTGTTTACAAAATTTTACTATCAAAGGTGTAATAGCAAGTATTGAATTAGTCATTACTCAATAATTTTCTCATGAACTTTCACAATGAGAAGATGAACTTTGACACAACTATAAATGATACCACTCCCAATAAGAAAAAAAGTATTAGGATCAGGACCATCTTCCCTATATGTGCTCGTGAGATATACGTATTCATCAAAGTTCTCATACTTACGAGTTGCTTGTCGACGTTCTTGAGCAGCAGCTCTTTTTAAACGACTATCTTTACTATTGTATTCATTAACCTAATAATAAACAATTTTAATATTGTTTATAAAATCCTTAATAACTTACAAATCGATCAACTATTGAAGTATCTTGATTTGATGAAGTTGACACTCTACTGCATGGTGTATTTCCAATACCATCAGTTGGTATAGATG